ATGAGAAAAGACAACAGAACAATTTCAAAAAAAACATGCAAAAATTTTGTTACTATTTTCTTGCCTGTAGACTGCTCCAAATTTGGTAGTGAAAGAATATTTCACATAGGTGATGGCATCCCAAGTTTACCGCAGTCACAATCTTTTTGAAGTGAATGAAAGCAGAGGAATGCATAAATCTTGAGCTTCTGTTTCATTCTCAAAAAACTCTCAAACATCTTTTTCCGGATTTCCGGTCCAAACTTGAGCTTATTTTGACACTTCAAAATTGTAAACGCCTGTTCCTTTTTAATGAAAATGAACTTACAGAAAAATCAAGAAAACAAAAAACAAACTTGTAATTTTTTTAAACCCACTTTAGCGTAAGGCCGAATTTCTTTCCCAATTAACTTTTTAGACCTTTTTGATGAAAACAATCAAAAAATGATCAAAAGTCATAAAGAATTACAGAAACTAGTGAAATTAGGTCTTTTTTTGTGTAGGTCAAGAAAAAAATTAGGCATAAAAATCTGGCTTTGCTAAGTGTGGGTTTGAACTTAATGTCAAATTATCCCATGTTCGCTGTTAGTTTTCATCAAAACTCTTCAAGGCATTCGGTATGCAATAGTCATAGTTTGTTTGATGTGTAGGTTTTGAATAAATTGTTCTCAGATTTTAGAGGAATTTGTGGAAAATTGTGATTCCGCTTAGAGTTTGAATAATTTTTTGTCATTAAAGTAACTTTAACTAGAGTTGTTTTTTGCTGTCTTTAGAATACTATTGTAGCCTCTATTTGTTATTTTGTTTGTTTCTCGATTCTCTCTATTTTTTGTAATAATAGTTTTTTGATGAAAATAAGCTTTTTTTGAAAAATTGTGATCCGGGTTATGATTTTTGTAACTTGCTGTGATCAAGGTAATTTTTTCAATAGTTGCATATTGCTATCGTTTGACATTATTGTAGCTTTTTTTGCTATAAAATTTGTTGATTATTTCTTTCTTGTTTTGTGATTATAATTTTGTGATGAAAATATGGTTTTTTCGAAAAACCGTGATTCGGGGCATGATTTTACTATTTTCTTGCCAACATTTCAATTTTGCTGTCGTTAGAGCATTATGGTAGTTTGGTTACTGAACCGTTTTTTGGCTTATTTTCTCTAGTTTTCGTGATATTAAACTTTGATGAAAATTTGGCATTTTTTGAAAAATTGAATTTAGCTGAATGATTTTATTACTGAGTTGTCGTTAAGGCAATTTCTTCTAGTATTGTTCATTGCTGTCGTCATACCATTATCGTAGCTTTGAGTTCTTGAATTTTAATCTATTGATGAAATATTGGCCGCAGCGACTCCTATTTAGGTCATTATGAAATTTTTTGTTTTTGTTTCAGGATAAATTTTTTCGTTTTTCCAAAGAAGTGTTGATTTTTTGAAGTTTTTTCGATTTGGTTATTTTCAACTCTTTTTTATATTTGTTAGCTTACAGTATTACGCTTTTTTTGTTGAACATGAGCTGAGAAGCTCTGCTTTGCCTCTGTGTTTCATATACTGATCACCTAGCTGTTACATAAATTCATAATTTTTCGTAGTTCTGAAAAGTTTGTTTTATCGACAATTTTATAAAATTTATTGGACCATCACCAGGTATGTTTTCCGACGTCATCGGGTGAAATGTTCTGCATTATCAGGTAAAATTTTCTACATTGGGCACTATTTTTGAGGCCGCAGAGAGCCGTTGAAGGAAGCCCACGAGAATTTAGCTTATAATTATATGCGTCGCGCCATATATGTTATTGGGTATTCATACGTTGCACCATATTTGTTTCAATAGTAACCACACATTGCGAGCATCCAGTGATCTAAGTCTATGTAGGTGGACAGTATTTTATAAGCTGCTCCCAGAAATCAACTCATCCTTATTCACTCACACCTGCAGCAATGGAAAAGCTGGGGCTATAATGGGAAAAACGAGACGCCCAAGTAAATATCATCAGTGCAAAGCTTAACATATCAGGGTAAAATTTTTTTATTATATGATCATCTTTTTACTGGCCTTTGCTTAAGATAATTTTCATAAGGTTCATATTTAACTAGCTCACACAGCATTTCTTTTGTATTTTAGTTGCCATCGAATCAAAATACTTTTTTGTCACATTTGATTAATTTTTGTCCGCATTGAGCAGAATTATTTCTGGCGTTATAAAATTACATATTTTTCTTCCTGACTTTCCTAACGAAAGTAAATGAATGTTTGTGGTTGGGTTTTTTTTCTTCAGACAAATTTCGACTTTTTAACTAGCCATTTTTGACAGATTTTTTTTTATATCATTCGAAAGCAATTGTTGTCCTGAACTTAAATTTGAAAAGATATTCCACATGTGATCATTTTTCGTAAAGTTACGGGGGTTTAAAGATTGCGACTTTGGCCAATTTGGGAGAAATAACCCGCGAAACATTTCGCGCTATTAACGCGTAAGCGGAGAATTAATCCGTCTTAGAAATTGTTTCAAATTGGTTGACGGAGGTTATTTGCCATAATTGTATTGTAACTAGGAGCGAACTCTATCATTTCGTACTTAATTTGATGTTTTGGGAGATGATTATCACAAGAAATTTCAAAATTTAAAAAAATCTTTTTTTATTTCCTGTTTTTCTTATGTTTTTTTTTTACTTTTTTTTGTTATTAATGCTCGATAGACCTTAAAAGGCAGTCAAAACATTCAGGTCTTTGCTCTGATACAATTGGTTTAATATTCCGACTTTCGTAACGAAGTAAACGGAATATTTTTGCTCGGAGTGGCATTTTTTCTTCAAAAAAACTTCACCTTTTTAAATAACCCTTTTTGAAGGATTTTTTCTTCAATCACTTCAAAAAGTTTGTTTTTTGAGCCTAAATTTGAAAAGATATTTTACCTGTAATTCATTTTTTGTAAGGCTATGGGGGTTTAAATATGGCCATTTTGGCCACTTTGGGACAATTAACGCGTGATATAATTAACGCGTGAAAGTTAATTGCCATAAATGATTTGTTGATAGGAGCAAAATCTATCACTTCATTATTTATACGGTGTTTGGGGAGATTGCTTTCAGAAAAAAACCCAAATTAAAAAAAATCATTTTATTTCATTACATTCAATATTTTTATGTTTTTAATGCTCGATAGACCTTAAAAGGCAACTGCAACCTTCAAAGCATCGCCCTGATATAAAATGAGTAGTCATGATTTTTCTACTTTCATATCAAACGTAACGGAATATTTGTGCTCGGGTTGGTTTTTTTTTGTCCGGAGGATTTTCGACTTTTTAACTAGCCAGTTTTGACGGAATTTTTTAACATCTTTCAAAAGGTGTTGCTGACTTGAGCCTAACTTTGAAAAACAATTTTATTTCTTTTTTTTTCATATCATTACTGATTGATAGAAATTAAAAAGCAGTTGAACATTCAGGATTTCGCCCTGATTCAAGCAGTCTTGGTGTTCCGACTTTCGTTTTCGTAATCAAGATAACAGAATATTTGTTTTCGGGGTGGTTGTTTTTTCTTCAGACGAATTTCGACTATTTAACTAGCTAATGTTGACGGAGTTTTTCATACCATACGAATGGTATTGTTATCATGAGCTCGAATTTGCAACAATTTTTCACTTGTAATTTTTTTTCGTTAAGCTATGGGTGTTTCAAATTGCCATTTTGACAATTTGGGACAATTAACGCGCGATTGATTTCAATCTATTGACGCGTAAGCAGAGACTTAATCAATCTTATAAATCGTTCAAATTTGGTCAAAGGAAGGTTATTTGCCATTAATTATTTAATAATAGTAGCGAAGTCTATCACATTGTACCTTATATGGCGTGTGGGAGGATGATTTTTCATAAAAGAGCTCTATTTAAAAAAAAATTCATTTTATTTCATTAAGTTCAATGTATTCAATCATTACTGCTCCATAGATCGTAAAATGCAGTTTGAATATTCAGGACTTCGACCTGATACGAGCGGTCTTGGTGTTCCAACTTTCGTAACGAAAGTAACAAAATATGTGTGCTCGGGAAGTTTTTTTTCTTCAGACAAATTTCGACTTATTAACTAGCCATTTTTGACGGAGTTTTTTTATATGATTCGAAAAACATTGTTTTCTTGAGCTTACATTTGAAAAAAAAAATTACATATGATTATTTTTGTAAAGTTCTGGGGGTTTAAAAGTTTAAAGGGTTTAACGCGTACACGGAGATTTAATCCGTCTTAGAAATCGTTCCAAATTGATTGAAGGAAAATTGATTAGTTAGTAGTAGCGAAGTCTATCACTTTGTACTTTATATGGCATGTGGGGTGATGAATTTCACAAGAAATCTCAAATTATAAGAAAAATTCGTTTAAGAAAAACCTAATTTTTCATGTTATTACTGCTCCATAAACCTTAAAAGGCAGTCTGAACATTCAAGGCTTCACCCTGATACGAGCAGTCTTGTTTTATTTTGCTGCTCATCAGAATTTTCAGCAGTTAATTCAGTAGTTTGGTTTTCCCTACACATTATCTAACTTTGCGTCATAAAATTGTGTCATTCTCAAACCGTGCAATGAATGTTTGCCACGCTTTTAAACATCAATAAGGATATCGGTGGGCCTCGACCAAGCTACCTTTCGTCTGAGAGTCGGAGACTTAGCCACTTCACCGCATACCCCATAGGTAACATGCATTAGGACTCCATAGCCGACAAACTTGTCATTTTCAGTGGTACTGGGCACTTCAAGCAGATTCACGAACGAGAAAGCGCGTAAAAAACGCGTTGAAGCTCTTAAAAGCTTACAAGCAATTAAGAAGAAAAGCCAGGAAACCTAGCGAAAAAAAAACACGATCTAATAGCACTGCGCCATGTAGTTTTTGTTCACTGAAATATTCTCTAAGGAAAATATTTTTTGGCTATGGAAATACGTGTCTGCTATTGAACCTTCAAATCATATTTTCGCAATTAAATAAATAAAAATGCAAAATTAAATTCTATAAAAGTTTACCAAAAATATCAATGAGATACACAAGTCATTGATCAAGTTTTCTGCTCTGCTGCCAAATCATTTTCTTTGAAGCTCTATAAATGCAACTAATCATCTTCATTGTTGCAACCAAAATAATTGGAAAAAATAACTTAATTTTAATGCAATTGTTATAAGCCTTTTTCTGACTCAGTTATTGGTATAACCGGAAAATAAGTCAGTCTTTTTTCTCCATTATCGTGAGTGTTTGTTCACGTGGTTGACAGCTGCGTTGGTCTGTCCAGGGGCAGGCACCACTTGTGTAATGTGTTCCATTGTGCATTTGGACATGGTGCCGATAGTTGTGGCACATCTGGACAAAATTCGCTGAAAAAAAACAATTCAAATTGTATTCAAATGTATTGCAGCACCGTAATACTTTTGAAAAAATCAAACACGAGTGATTTACTCGGTTACGTAAGTGGCGAAGCAGAGCTTCGAAACGGGGGCTATTCTCATGCGCGAAGGACAGAATGGGCGAAAAAACTCGTGAGGGAAAGACCGAAAATAAAATTAGCCGAAAGTCAATTTAAAAAAAAAAGCAATTGCCATGCAATTAAAATGAATTAAATGAAGCAATATTTTGCTTCTTTCATAACGAAACCCTTGAAATGTAAAACTTTTTCCAAATCGGCGGCGTTCAGTGACAATTTGAAATGTTTTCATATTTCTGCCCTTTTTATATTCGGCCAATATCAATATTCAGTCCCTGGAAAAGTTTTCTTTCTTTTCAATTTTTAGATTACTGAAATCTGATTGGCTGATTTTCATTCCGCGCATTCGGTCATTTGCGTATGAGGGATTCAACCCTTCGAAACAGCAAAAGAGTTGCATTGCAAACAAGTAATTAGAAAAAGATGTAAGTCAAAAAATTCCTTAGTTTGTCTAAATTGATGGGTGACCGCTCGACTATCATTAAGGTTTGAAAACAAAAACATGTATCGGCTAGCATAATGTTGATCACTTTATTTCTCAAAATACAAAACAACATTAATAAAAATCTCAAATGGAAACTGGCAATTCTGAGAATTATAAAATTGAAACATGGAAAAGAAGTTCTTCATCACATAAACCGTGATCAGTCACACCCGACCTGTAATGGCTTGAACCGTAATATGCTCAAATTTTCGGCTCTGTTGAACAAAGTTGTAATTTTCGGCACTGTTGAATTTTTTTATTCGGTTTTGTTGCACTTGGGCACTGTTGTACTGCCCATTAGAACATATTAAGTGCGGCAATCAAACATTACCAGCGATCGATTAAAATTTTAAATAATTTGAGCAAGAAAATTTGCAACTTTGGTGCCAAAATAATTGTTTAATTTGCAGTCTCAGACATTTTGGCGCCAAAAGTGGAGTGATTTGTTTTGTAATTAGCGTCAGAAGCTTTCTGCTCTGTAGAAAATGCGGTTAAATTGTTCTGAAGTTTTACCGCTTTTTACCGCTTCGGCACTGTTGTACTTCAGTACTGTTGAACGCCCCCGTTCAAATTTTCGGCACTGTTGAACAAAGTTTTCATTTCTGGAACTGTTTAACTTTTTTTGGCACTGTTGTACTGCCCCACCGACGTCCAATTTAAGGAAAACATTTCGTGAAGCACAATGATCAGCATTGAGTAAGCATTCAGAATCAATCACTGAGCGTTTAATAAAATCGGTAAAATTTGATTCGATATCAGCTAAGCCGAAAATTAAACTGCAGTCATCACAAATTGAACTACAAAGTTTCGAAACTCGAATTCTTTACGCCCTGTCGAACTAACTCGCAAGCCAATTCTGACATATTAAAAACATAACAAAACGTGGCCTCTTTCCGAACTACGCATTATGAGTGACTAAAATCACTATAATTTAAGCCGAAACACGCATAACTGAAAAATTTTGTAAACTTAATTGCTTAACGCAGAAGAAAAATCTATGCTTTGAAAAATAGACCGAAGCATCCAAAAAAACTAGATAAAATAATTGCATTTAAACAAAATTAAATTTAAAAAAATCATGTCAAAAAATTTGAATTGAAAAAAACTCACCATTTTTTTAATAAGTTTAAATGAAACATTTCACATGGGCCAAGCCTTTCCCTAAACTACGGTTAAAAATTGAGGTGGAAGTAAAAAACGAATCATCAAACTTAGTGTCATTAAACTGTAATTTTGGTAAATTGGTTTGAAATTTTGAAAAATTCAGACCAATTTCTCTGGTTTATTTTTCAAATCAATTACGGCTAAAAATTATTTGATCACTGCCAGTTTTTTATGAAAATTTTTTCGTGTCAAAATTGACACGAAAAAAAACCTCTACGCCATCGTTCATTTCTGCCCTCGTGGCTTGGTCGGAACTACCAGCGAAAAATGACTCCGAAACTTTCAAATCTCATTAGCAACCCCCAGCCCCCCTCCCCCTAAGGAGCTTGTACTGACAATTAAATCCCTAATAAAATTTGTCCTCTTAAGGTTGACCTGGTTTGCAAAGTATAGGGGGTTGTTAATTATATCCAATTGCAGCCAATGAGACCATGTTTCAGGGTATGTTTTCCTGCCCAGAAAAGTTAACGAATGCTTGAAGTATGTTTTTGGATCAAAATTTCAATTGCAGATGATGGGGATTTGCAGTGTTTCAATCAGAACGCGCTCAGAATACTTCTTCTGAAAGTGCCGTTTCTTAAAACGTAAAGAGAGGTTTTCAGTCATTTTTAAACAGCTTGAAAATCGCACTTGATTGCAACGGTTTGATTAACTTTATATTTACAAAAAACTGTCTAAAGTTTCAACGCTTCATGAGGAAACCGTTCAAACAGCTTACTCTAAATTAAGTTTCTGAAGGCAGTCTGCTTACAAAACCACTCTATCATCTATAAATGCGAAGTGAACTGAGTTAAAAGGTTACCTTCGTGCGACCACTGCTGACTTTTTCTTCTTTCTTTGGTTTGTTTGGAGTCGTAAGCGGAGTCGAGGGAACTGAATGGGATCTGTACAGTCGAGGAGTTGCCACCTCCTCTTCGTCGGCAGAATCCTCCTCCATCAAAGTCTTCATTTCTATGACGTCAGCTGTTATTGAGTTTGATTTCCGGAATCTAGCTCCGCCTTTTTTCATACGCAATTTAACCTGGTACTTTCCATTTTCGTCCATAATTCCGAAACTGACAATCAGAGTTAAGAAATTTACGCCTTACTTATTAACTTAAAACAATAAGCGAACTATTATTTATAGCGACAGTATCAAATTCGTGAGTTTGCTGCCTAGCCTCGAGATTTTATTGTCAATTATTGTGGTTTGATTAGATGTTTGTTTCGATTTGTGGGCTAATATGCTGCCTATGTTCACTCTTTGTTTGCGGGTTGATAAATAGATGTTGAACTGATTTATATTAAAAGCTTTCTTGCAAAAGCATGAGGCCAAGAAAACCAAGTCGTGATTTAAATAAAAACGATGGTTTATCGTGTTTTCCAAATTCGCTCCTTTTTTGCAGTCAGATTCAATAAGAATTAAGAAATTAAGAGCCGAAGGACTCATTAAATATTGATTATGTTGGTAAAACAAAACAAGACCAAAAAGAACTCAACACAGGTACAATTTCTGAAGAAGCGGAGAATGAAGCGGATGAATGAAGCGGATGAAAGGCGGAGAATGAAGCGGATGATGATGAGGATGTGGTTGGATGTGCCTTCCTACATTGTGAAATCTTTGACTTCCCTTTTTGCTCGGTTGAATCCTAAGTTTTTCCTTGGAGCGTATACATAATGGCATCTGAGAAAAGTTTTGACGGAATTGAACTCCACGGTTTTGTTCATGGAAACTGAAAATTATGCATCAAATTTTCAGAGAATTCGAAACTTCAACGAAAAAAGGTGAAGGAAACGAACGTTATAGGATAAAAAACACTAGAAGTTAAGTTCAGCTTTATGGTTAAGGTCAGCTTTATTTTGATTCTACATATTAAGACAAGCAAATATGTGGAATTAAAATACAGCGCGGTTTTAGTTTGTTCATAGTTGACTTGGATTCATCAAGAAGCGCGTTTGTGACGTCACAAAGAGATCCATAAAAAGTCAAAAAAAATTCTTCTATTTTTCCGCTTGATTGCACATTTTTTCGTTAAATTCACTGAATTGATTCAATAAATTGATTCAATAAACTGAATGCTTACTATGAACGTCATTTTCAATAAGGGCCTATTTAATTTAGACCGTTTTGTTTCACGCAATCGAGACAATTGAATCAGCAGTTGAGATACAATCTAATCCAATCTCGTGATGCGACGATCCGTAACAGGCAACTATTTGTAACGAGCGACAATTCATAACAGTAGATTAAGCGGGGAACACTGATTCACGCGCAATATTCCTCCCGTGCCGGATGTAAGCGCAGCAGAGCGAAGCGGAGCAAGCATATTCTACTTGCCAATGCCTTGTTACGAATTGTCGCTTGTTACGAATTGTCGCCTGTTACGAATTGTCGCTTGTTACGAGTTTTTGCTTTTTGACCGACCAACCAATCTGATACAAAAATTTTCAATCCCTTGGAGTATCTTTTACTTAATTTCTGATTTTGTCCTCTGGTTGACGCGTTAAATACATTGCAGAAAAAACTGTAATTGAGACAAAACAAGACTAATCGTATATCAGGGCAAAGCCCTGAATATTCCGACTATCACTTAATTCATATCGAATAGATTTTGTGAAATGAAAATATTGAAAACCTATAAATTTTGCACAATATCAAAGTGTGAAATGTCGAGTCGGACGAAATTAATACGACCGATCTGATTAGCTAGCCTCAATTCAATTTGGAACGATTTTGTTGTGCAGGATAATTCGCCACGCATACATTTTTTGCGTAACGCTATCAGCAAAATGAAAAAATTCTTCAAAGCGCACTTGATTTAGCCCAGAACATGGCCAATTTGGCAGCCTTCAAACCCCAAAAACTTTCCAAAAAATAATATCTTTTTACATTAGAACTCAGGATGTCGATATCTTCAATGGGGTCTAAAAAACTTTGTCGAAAACGATTATTTCGATCGGCGAAAATTGACTGAATAAAAATATTCCTTTTTCTTCGAAAGTCGGAAAAAAATTCATTCCTGCGTTATAATTGTTTGTAAACTTGTTAGACCATCAAGTTACCTTTCCAGTTAATTGTATTTGCTTTCTAAAAGATTAATGGTATATTTTTAAAAACTTACTTCGTTCTTGATTTTTGGAAAAAGTTCAACAAAGTGTGCTTTATAACAGGAGAAGGTTTTTTAAAGCCACGCTTGTCTGCAACTGCTAAACAAATCTGGCATTATTAAAAATCGGTACAAGTAAAAAAGACCTTTGCAATCCTACTTAACGAGCTTCCTTGAGACTATTGAACTTTTTTTCCACTTTCTGGTCATTTTTGGTGAGACTCTTTTCCTTAAACAACCATCAAAATACCTAAAACAGTAAAGAAATACGAAAGATAAACTGAAAGAAAACCAATTTTTGTTCTAGTGATTTGTAGGCAATTTATCTTTTTTGAAAAAATCTATGATACGATCTGATAACTCCGGCTAATCGAAGACCTGACAAAGATTTTCAATTGATTATTCAAAAAAAGTCAATGGATGGTTGAAAAACTTATTTTTGTCTTAAAAGAACTTAAAAAATTCAGCTTTTTAAATTTAAAAAAACTAATTAAAAGAGACTTTCAAGAAAAAACGTTAAATTTTCAGCATTTCTTATCAAAAAAACTGTTCAAAAATAAATCTAGTTGAACACAAAATTAATAATTTACTTGAAAAAAGTAAGTAGAATAAACATTAAAAAATGTTTGAAATACTGAACGACGAACTGTAAAAATGCGACTCTAACCAATGGAGCAGAAAAAAACACGCGAATGTTTTTCTTTCAATTTTTTTGTTATTGTTGTAGATTTCATAGAAAAATCGTTTGAAAAACATTTTTCTCTGCCACGCCTGTCTCAAACATGATGAGGTTTTTTTCTAAGATTAGTTATTTTAGATTTAAAAGGTTCTGTAGATTATTTATTTTAGATTTTGAAAAGTTCTGTAATAATATCAATGTGTTCAATATTCGGTATTCAATCCATTGACTTATGCATGCTTAAAATGTTTTAAGTATCAAGAGTCCAAAATTCTTCAAAGCATCCAGACGTTCAAATTCACTTTTAAAAAGGATTGAAACAACCGTTTTGCACTTTTTCATTGAAGAGCGCAGCTAAAAATCAAATTGCGAACTAAACTATAAGTGGACATTGAAAAATGTCTTCTTTTTGGCAAACATTAATTTTAAACTTTTTATTCATTGGCTTGCAATATTTAATTGATAAACATTTTCATCATAATGGATATTTTGCAATAAAAAATAGCGTAAATAATTTTTTAGCAGGTTATTATTCATTGTGATTATTCGAACAACCTAAAATTTTGAATAACATCTTCGAAAGATGTTTAAGTCTTTAAAATCAGTGAATCAAGATTTTAGCGTTTTGTTGATCCCACTAAGCATGTCAAGCAGTTTTGAGCAAAGATTGAGTAATTGTTTCCACTTGTGAAAAAAAATGACGCAAGTTGGTGCTGGTAATTGTTTCTCCAAATAAAAACAATTTTTGACATGATTTTTTAAAAATATTTTCAAATAAAAAGAGTTCATATGCGACCAAAAATAAAAAGGAGTTGAAATTATGAATTAATATTCTTTTCTTGTGCTACTCGATCTCAAAGGACAAACTCGTTTCATAAATCAATCCAGAGCGAGTTAAAGTAAATTTTTTAACAAGAATTGTAAATAAATCGAATAGTTGCGCTTAAGGATAGTTTTTTTTTCAAGTCCATTTTTACACCCCAAGAAAAATTTTGACTCTCTGAGTTTAAATCAAAAAAATTTACTTGCAATTCTTTTTTTGTTAAGCTTAAGAATTTTGGTTAGGTTTAAAAAATTTGTAACAGTTTCTTAAAAACTGTTTGAAATGTGCTGCAATGAATATTTGTCATAAAACTTAGAAGCGACAAAACATATCCAACTGAGAGCTGTAAAAATACAATCTCACCCGAGGAAGCAGAGAAACAATCCAACGATTTCCTTTATATATTTTTTTTGAATTTCAGATGCAATAAAAAATCTAGTCTCTTTACTGTTTTCTTAGCCACTCCTGACTAAAAAGAAAAAAAGCTTGTCGGTGCGTTAGAGTGTGAAAGGTTTTGTAAGAAAATCATTTCAGCTCACAACTCAATTTCCGATAAAATGACTTATGCATGCCTCAGATCAAAACGACTATTATGAAAAAGTTATTGACTTTCGGAAGAAAAAACAACGAGACAAAACTTGTAGTAATTACTTCAATAAAAAAAAATTCCCAGAATATAGTTTTTTGGAAAGAAATAATATTATTTGAAAAAGAAGTTTATCATTTCCGTTTAGAAATCTACATTTTCAAACCCATTTATATGAAAGTTGAAACGAGTGTTTTAAGGTTATTTGCATGGTGTTTTTGCTATTGAAGAGCGCAGCTGAAAATCAAACTGCAAAAAAAACGGATGATTTGAGGAGCGTCTGCTATTTGGTGAACTTGAATCTCAAGCGTGAGCCAAATTTAAAATTTCCTATCGAAGGGGAAGAGTATTTTTCTTTTGAATCTTGAAGTTTGGCGCTACATTCCTAGATTTCCGTTTTCTCCCTAGGGAGTTTTTTTTGAATCAATCAAATTGTACTCTAATATTTGATAAACTGCAAATTTAAAAAACAGTTGATGTTCGTTTTTGTAGCGCCAGTGATTGGATATTTCAGAGTTTTAGTCATCCCACTAAGCGTGTCGATCTTTTTTTGACCTATGGTTGAGTTTTCGTTCTCACTTTTGAAAAAAAAAGAGACGCAGTAATTGTACTGGCCAGTTTGTTTCCAAATAAAAACAATTTTTGACATTGTTTTTCTACATAAATTGACCTTTAAACAAAAGATAACTCACAAGCAACTCAATTTAAATTTCAAATAGCATAAACTATATTCATTCTTTGCTGCTCTCCTCAAGCTTAATGAACAAATTCATTAAATAAATCAATCTAGACCTTATTAAAAAATTATTAAGAAAATTTGAAAACAAAGTACTGGGGCTCAGGACTAGTTGTTCTTTCAACACCCCTTCTTTCATGTCCCAAGGAAAATTTTGAATCTCTCAGTTTAAATACAAAAAGAAATACAACCTACAATTTTCCCTTAGTTAAATTTAAAGAGATGAAGAAACGCAAAATTTAAACAAAATTATCCGCGTTCTAACTAAGCTTATGTATTTGAAGAAAGAATCATACTTTAATTCATTCAACTACGATTTAAGACAAATAAAATATTCACTTGTATTATTATCTTTTTAAATCTAAAAAGATCTGAGGCGACTTCAAGGAATTGGCCAGTTTAAAAAGAACTTTTGTTTATTTGACCAACATAAAGAACTATAGTTTGGGCGTTTTTTCTTTATTTTGACTGGTCGGAGTGTGGAAAGTTATTTCAGCTCTTTCAGCCGTGATATGGATTTCAAAAACAATTCGAAAAAGTTGTAAGAAACTCTTCTAACAACTTTACTTTATATTTGCTCCTGCTACTGTTCGCTCTAACATTTCCGAAGTAATTTAACCTTCCATTTTTTCAAAAAATAACTAAAATTTCAGACGAAAATGATGGAAAAAAATCTTATAGTTGTTCCAACAATTTGAAAAATGCGGAGGAACTTTTGTATTTGGGAGTGTTTTAATTTTTTCCACTCAAAATCAGGTACCACGAAAAATCACGGGAATGGGTTGAGTGATATATCAAATAAAACACCTTTCAGTAGTGAAATGAATCACGATAAAAAAATTTGAGAAAAACCTGTTGGATTTTTCTGATTTTTGGCTCGATTTCAAACTGATAAGGTGAGCGTGCAGGCTTCGAATAGCTTATTTATGCTTAATTAAAGCCGTGAAAATTTAGTTTTACTTGAGTAAAGTTTGTGAAAATTTTTAGTGCCAATTTTGGAACCAAAAACTTCAAAGTTTAAAAAATTTCTTCCAAAAACATTGAAATTGTTGAAAATTTTTTGACTTTTTTAACGATTTTTTTGTTTTACCGTTATTTTTCTGCAAAACTGCTTTACAAGTGGCCTATTTTACTATGACTGTCGAATTTGCCAAAGGTCTATTTCTCTTTCAGATCTTTTTATCGCACCACGAAGAAAAAACTACACTATTTTGAAAAAAAATTCTTTTTGTGTTTTTAAGACTATGGTCGCAACATTCTGTGCAACTTGCACAGTAACCGGCTATGCTTTTTTAAAAATTTGCTTTACTTTCCTTTTTTTTCTAAGATGAATGCGGTTGGGACATACTGTGATCCTTGCACAGCTACCCGCTATACTTGTTTAATTTGATGTGAGCATGAAATATTAGTTTGAACTTGAATCATTCTGAAGTTTTGCTTCAATCTCACGAAAAATGGAGCTTCATTTAAATTAACTTAAGTCAAATATCTAAAATATACTATACAAATGCCCTGACTATGACAACACACTGATAAGCACCAGTTTGAACTAAACTCAGAAAGGATTAACAAAATATAAAAGGGTGATATTATCTGAGACATAGAGAGCATACTTTTATGCTTCTTCATATGGGGAAGTCGGAATTAGTATATGTCAATATTTGGCAAAGTTCTAGCCTCAGCTAGTTGACAGGTAAGGTTAAGGTTACTTTTCATTTCGCATTTGAAACTCGATTTAAAGTTTGTTCATTTTTGATCATCTTCTGTTTGAGAAATAGAGCCTGACGAACGTGAGTGTGTAGGCTATAAGAGCACCAACTGCTACCATAAGAGCGTAGAAGTATTTGTTCACGTTTTCATAGTCAATTCCCTGAATGTCAAGTCCAGCTTTGCCCTCAACGCTAAAACAAGATCGATTTTTGTGTGTAAATGACTACGTGGATTAGCTACAGTAGTTCGTCCAAATGGAAAAAATAAATAAATTTCTTCCCTATTTTGACTGATCAAGTGTGGTAAACTATTTCGACTCGCTCATCTACCTCAAAACAAAGGTAAATTCAATTTCGTTGATTCTGTAATTAGTCGTTGACTAAGTCATTTCTAAGGACAACTACAAGTTGAGCTGTTAAAGCCCGTATAATGGCCCCGATATAGTTGTAAATGCGATTTGTACTTCTATATCAAATAAACCTTAACCTTTATAGTGTCAATGATACCAGAGGGCGGTGGGGGGGTTGTTAGGAAGAGATCCGATTACCATATGTCGAGCTGCTGTGAGAACAATTTATCGGCTGTTTCTGGGGTGCTCAAGAACTTCATGATGGCACGTGAGATGGAGTCTCCTTCGTTTTCATCCGATATGGTGGCTTGGGAGAGGGCCATTTCCATGCCAGGACAGGCTGCGTTGATTGATGTCTGGCCACAGAACTCAAGGCCAAGAAACTCGTTCACAGAAAGACCCTGCAGACAATCATGCAAGATGACTTGGTTAACAAAAATAAATCTGTTTAATTTCAGAGGAAAACGAGCATGACTGAAACCTTTTTGATAGAAAAGCCCAGACATGATTAATGGTTGTTTTTGTTTCGATGAGAATTATGAAAAATCAAACCATTTCTGGGCCTAAAGGTGAAAACTAATTTTCACGCCATTTCCTTTTTGTTAATCGATAGCGAGATTGGAGCTCTCCTTGAAAATTTCTAAGACTTTTTCTGAAACAATAAACACCACAATAAAATCCATGAACGATGCCCGCAAACCCATCTATATTTTGCATGTTCATCTATAGAAGCCTGCAATATAATATACCATACAATGATGTACTATACAAAACTATAAAATATAATAAACAATAATATACTATACAAATACTATAAAATATAATACACAATTATATACTCACGGACACTCCATAGTAGACAAGTGAGACATACTTCAGTAGCTCCACCCACTCAGGTAGAGTCTTCAAGTTGATGATGAGACCAGCGAAGACCTGAACAAAACCAAGTGCTCACAATTTCTACTAATCACATGCACACGAAACTATCTCAATGTTCCGACTACAGTGGTCTCATAAAAAATCAAAATTAAACTTAAAATTAAAAATAATTTGTGTCAATTTTTGAGAGAAAGCGGTGAGAAAAAACTGAAGAATTCAAAATATACAGTCATTGTGAACCAGGAGAAAAATATCCATCAAACAGTTGGGAAAAAGTTAGTGAATGGAAGGAAACTGAAAAAATATGACAGATTTTTTTTTCACTTAAAATGAGTTTCCTTGCAAATAAATTGCCTTAATGTGGTCTGAATTTCCACAATTTTTCATGATTGACGCACTCAATTGATATAACTTAATTTACTTCAATTTGCGAAAACTAACTAACTCAATTTGCAAAATTTTTATTCACTGAGAATAAGTCTATAAAGTGGACTTCCACTATTTCCGCCATTTCCAATTTTCCGATTTGCCTTCAATTTAAATTGCCTGGAATTAATTTTCCATTTGATTCAATGAAAAGATTAATTTGCCTTTCATTTGAAAACTTGAAAAAATCAAAGTGCAAAAAAAAATGAGCGGGCACAAAAAAGTAACAAAAAATCGCACAAGCTATATAAGTGAAAGTTCATTCCGTGCATTCGCACTCAAAACGTCGTCTCGCTGGGAAAGTGAGCTGGGGTCTGCAGATTGAGCGGATCAGGGATCAGTTGAATCCTAGAATCTACTTAACAATTTAACAATTGCCCCCTTCAAGAAAGGGAGGGGGGCAATTGTTAACTAAATTAAGTTAGTCGAATTTCCGACGAATCAGAATGCAGCAAAATGCGAATTTTACATACAACGCTCTAGTGCTAATTTAATTCTTTTATTTGTAGCGGTGGCAATTTTTTAGTAGATACCAAAGGTAGGGCGATTGTTAAGTAGGGGTGGCAAGTTGTAGGGGTGGCAATTTATACAATATGCAGTAGATACAATATGCAAAAGTAGGGCGATGTTTAAGAAGATTCAAATGCTGTTTGGGTGAAAGGTGTCTTCTTTTACCATCATGACGACGAACACGAGCATGACTGCGATGTGTGAGATGTAGAATGTCTTGAGTATGGAGGTGGTAAGATAGGCCACTCCGCATCCACTCACAGCCAACAGAATCAACATCAGCAGGAAGAAGAACATAGAGTCCACGTCCGACCGAAGACCTGCAAAGGAAGCCACCTTTTGAATCACAATAATAATTTCTATGTTCAAACCGGAAACTTATAACCAATCATTGTATGAAACTGTACATCTACAATTTAGTTCGGCTTGGGGCGAAACCAAAAAAGCATTAGGCAGTATAATAAATAACAAAATTTTCAAATCTTCTAAATCTACTTGTTTTGATATCCGCTGAAAATTTAGTTTAGAGACTTCTTCAGCAACAGGAAGAATAAATTACACGAAGTCAAATTCTGCCCGAAAAATTAGAAGGCGATGAGCTCGCAAATTTGATCTCTCTCAAATGTAATCCCCCAGCCGTTTATAGCTTCCAGTCAGAATTGCAGATGCACCCCTGCATGTAGTAGTTACTCGGAACAAGATAAGAACCTGATGCTGTTCAAGGTCAATTTTGGCTCTTACCGACGCTGTAGGTGAGGGTGACGCCCATGATGACTGCCGGCACCACTCTCAAGGTCAGCAGGTCAAACAGAGTGTTGGACAGAAAGTAGGGCAACATGTAGAAGAACCCATTTGCATACTCGTGACTAAAAACACACACACAAATATACGCGCATAAAATACAAATAATTTTTTTTGTTTTACGAAAAACTAAAAAACTATAAATAGGAGGAGGGGTAGGATTTTCTCGGGGAGGGCGGATTTTCAAAATTTCATCGACCTTTTTTATAGGTCGACCAAATTGATTTTACGAGCTGTCACAAATCACTAAAGACCCTATTTTGACCAAATCTCTGCACCGCAGGCGAAATTTTGAAAAAAAAACAGGCCAAAAAGGGTGTTTAAGGCACTTTTTGAACAAGTGTGACCAAAAAAATTGCGTTTTTCGGTGCGTGCTTCCCCCTCAAAATTAGTATATATTGGCGCCAAAGGCGTCTTTAGAAAAAATTTAGGGTCAGTCAGCCAAAAATCGAGATCTCAAAATAGTACATAGGGGATTCTTTGGGTCGAATCCCCCCTCCTCCTAAATCCGCTGGTGAATAGAACTAATTATCCACGCTAGAAGGGATTAACTTGGATATCTTAGCAATGAACACGATTTTTAACACAAAATTTTTGAAAAATATAAATAAGAGTTTATAAATTTTGACTGTTTTTCTTATAATAAAAGGAGAATTTATGTGAAACTGACAAGAATAGTTTCTGTTGACTGATGAAGAGTTCGATGTGTGCTAGATTCATCATCATGAGGGAGAGGGAGAGGAAGAAGAAGAGACCGTGTCTGTTCTGGAAGCCCCTGTCAGGACTCAATTCACTCTGCCAGTACAAGGCACCGAACAGCACTGACAACATGGTCGCTATAATCACCTAGATAACACACCATTAAGTCATTGTTAAAAGGATCATTTAATAGAAATTCATTGAAACTAAAAATCATAGCCAGCAAACAGAAGGAAAAGTTTTAGCGAGCTTTAGAAACCAAGACAAAAATTTGAAATTGACACGGTTTTCAAAATTTTATAATTTTTTCTCGAGTAAATCGAATAACCTCAAAAAAATGAAACTTTTCTCTTTTTTTTAAAGATTTTTTGTTATCTCACCTGACCAAAAAGACACTCTGGGTTTCTGTAAAGTTGTCTCACGTCTCTTGCGAACAGAGTCTTCATCTGAAACAAGAATAGCCTGTTGATGCGAAAGTAGGGTTCCCATAACGCTGATTGCTGCAAGGGATTTCAAAAATGAGACAAAAACCTAAAAAAAGAGAAAAATTTCATCAATTTTTCTGCTGTTGGTTTAATAAAAGGAGGTGAAATTATTTGTAATAAAAAATAGATATCAGCAGCTACAATAGTGTAGAAATTACAGATATATGAGAATAAAGCCTCATGAGAGCCAGTTCCCCGTCTAATTTAGTCTGACAAACGGAAAAACTCGCGTCGGTTTTTCTCGACACAGCAAGCATTTTTGAAATTTGGAAGTCGAATCAAAACTTTGAAAAAAAATCTGTACTATTGTTTCTTCTCACTCTGTCGAGAGTGGTTGGGATTTCTTTTTTTTTTTGCTTTCCAGTTCTTGAATTAGAGATCTAAACACAGTTTTCATTAAGTTCAGAGGTCAAAGATTTAAATCCAATAAAATACTGATCGAATATATGAAAATTAAGGTAAGCAATCAGAAAAAATTTTTTAAACCTAAAGAGCCCTAACAGACATTAGGGATCTTGTTAACCAAATCCACCCTATTGCAAAAAAAAAATTCTTACAAAGAACAAAAACGCCTTCCCCCTCAGGGATTCGACCCCTTGCCAACCCAAAGGTCCCCCTTTGATACTTTTCAAGAAATCCATTTTTGGCCGACCCACGCTAAAATTTTTCTAAAGGCGCTTTTGGCGCCAATATATACTAACTTTGAGGGGGAGCGCGCGCCAAAAAAAAACGCGATTTTTTTGTCAAAATTTTCCAAAAAGTGGCCAAAAACGGCTTTTTCGACCTGTTTTTTCAAAAAATTGCCTGCGGCGCAAAAAATTTGGCCAAAACACAAAACAGCGTCTTTTTAGTTCTTTAGAAGAGCTCGGAAAATCAATTTGGTTGACCTAAAAAAAAAGGTCGTCAAAATTTTCGAAAATTTTTGAAAATTAGCCCCCCCCCTCGAGAAAACCCTAGATCCGCCCCTGATTTTGAATAAATAAAAGATTTTAGAAGTAATCTGAAGAAATAAGACCGGTCATTTGACGAAAAAGGTCTTTGCTTTTTTCTAACTCTCAGTCAAGCTTGGAAAATTAATCAACCTGCAATTTTGACAACAATTTAAAACAAAAACATGAAAATCCCCCTCCTTGCTCGAGAGTTCTTAGATACACCCAGGCGCGGATCTAGGAATTTCTCGAGGGGGGGGGTTTCAAAAAAAATGATCGACCTTTTTTTTTGGTCGACTAAATTGATTTTCTGAGCTCTCCCAAATCACTATAAAGACACTAATTTGACCAAATTTTCTGCGCCGCAGGCAACTTTTTGAAAAAAGGCCAAAAAAGGCGCGTGCTCCCCCCTTGGCGCGCCCCGTTTTTTGAAAAAAGGTCAAAAAAAGGCGCGGGATCGCGTTTTTTCGGGGCGCGCTCCCCCCTCAAAATTAGTATAGATTGGCGCCGTCAGCAAATATGGATATCTCAAAATAATACAAAAGGGGACCCTTTGGGTCGGCAGGGGGTCGAATCCCTGAGGAGGGGGCGTCCCCCCTCTAAATCCGCAACTGGATACAGTTCTGCATGGAACAGTGTGAGTACCTGAGTGGAGAATGGTTGGTAGCTCCTGCTCGCTTCGATCTTCTCGCAGTGGAAAGTGCTCTCAATCCTCTTCCTCATATCCCCCATCTCGTCACTGGAGTGGAACAGACGGGCCAGAGTGTGCTTGCCAACTGATGGTGAAGACGATTTGGAACCACTCTTGTCTGTGTCTATTTTAGACAAAAAAGAACCATCAAAAAATTTAACATTATTTCACGCAAGCCAAAAGCATTATTTAACTTATTTTGAAACTTGAGACGTGCAGGTTTTGAAACTTTCGTACAGATAACATCTGATTAAATTCAAATTGACTGATTGTTTTCAAAAATTTAACAAAATGATGAAAAACAATTGATGAAAATTTCACAACATAAACATACTATATTTGGAGAGCTGGTTTGTCATTTTGTGGGTTCCATTCGGCACTGTAATCACTGCAGTCGTGTCGTCATAATTAACCGACATATTACTGCCCCCATTTGCCACTTTATTCTCCACCATTTGGGGGTGCACGTCATTGCTCTGACACAAGCTGGAAAAAGTCACGTGATCATTGCTGCCTGTGGATCCTGACCCAGCCTCGTGGGCGTAGCTCTGGACTAGATCCAGGAAAAAGTCGCAGGGGTTCTCGGCCACTTCGCAGAAGTAGTCTAAAACACACTGCAGTTTCATGATACAATAAAATTAGCACAAAATGTTTTGACATTGCTTTTTATTGCTATTGGTTCGTTTTTACCTGTTTTTACAAACTTTGAGTTTTGTTCTGCTTTTGTTAACCGTTATTTGATTTCCAGAAAACTAAATTAAAACGGCGACACACCAAACACTTCGAAAAGCATTTGACACTTAGGCGGTATAGGTGATAAAAATTTTCATATATTTTTCAGGAAAGAATGGTAAATACATTGCAGCAAAGTTCCAGTGTAAAAAATACAGAACTAAAAATGAGCAAAAAGATCATAATCAAAGGCACAATAGCAATTCTGCGTAAAAAGTAGAAGGATCTTTCCCACGCGGAAAAATTGTCTTATCACATGTGATACATATTAGTTCTATTAGCCCTACGAAGTTTTGTACGCTCTTTGAAAAAATGTTGCATACCTCGTTGTTCGAAGTAACTCTTAGCATTCTTAGCCAGTCCGTGGTACGCTAATCGACCGTCAACAGTCAACAAGGTCAAATTATCCAACTTCTTGAAAATAGAGTATCTCGGCTGATGCAAAGACATGATTATAGTCCGTCCATTCTCATTGGCTACTTTAGTCAGGCAATTCACAATCTCATTGGCTGAAAAACTGTCCAATCCGGTGGTCGGTTCGTCCAAAAGTAGAATCTGCGGCTCTAGTAAGAGCTCCATAGCAATGCAAGTTCGCTTCTTCTCACCAGTAGAAATTCCACGAATCAGGAAATTTCCCACCTGAAAATTGAACTCATAACCAACCAAACTTTATTATAATTAACAAGCAGTGTGAATTTTGAACTATTTTTGATCACATAATTTGTCTTTGATGTGTAAATAATTTAGTGTACAAAATCTTTTCAGTCGTTGGATGATTTTCATTTACTGATAATATTCAATTAATAAATTGGAGCAGATTTGTATCAAAAATTATGTCTGTGGTGCTTCTTACCCCTCGGATCTGCCAACACGTAAAAAACATTGAAACCCAACTAAGCGAGAACACTTGAACACAAATGAAACTAGGAAAACACTATACAAATTAAAATGAAGAAACTGCTTTGATTTGAGAACTTATTAGATAATTGCTCCAAATCTCACCATCGACACAGAAATTTCAGAGACATTGACTCCGGAACCCGCAAAAAAAGTACGAAAATAGAGGAACTAGATATCGTAATTGCTGTTGCTTTTAAGTACCCTACGAAAGCAAGTGACAACTGAAAACTACATTGTAAATTGTCTATTTCAGAATACGTGGATAATTAACGCGCTATATTTAAAAACAAAAAATATAGACATCATACAGTTGGAGAAGTGTCAATGAACTGAAGAAACCAAAAAAATGAAATATAGATTTTTTTTGGATTTCAATAAAAATAAATCATTTTAATTCTTAACACAGAGGCGAAGCTAGCGAGATTACGACAAAAATCAGCTCTATAAAGCGCAATAAAAGTAGATAAAAGAATCGAATTAGTAAAAATTCTGCTAGTTCTGAGATTCGATATCTCCGACCTATTGCGACCTAGAGGTTATAAGTCTCACGCGCTAACCACTCAGCCACGGACGCTTAAGCACTCACAAACAGTAGCCTGAAATAAAACAGAGAACAGATGCTATGAAATTTCCAATAATACAGATCGCGATTATAGTAAAAGTGCTACCAAATAAAGAACACTTTGTCACCAAATAATGAACAATTTTATTTGCAAGTTAGGTTAGAAGAAAAGAATGTTGGTACTAATACACTAACGCTGGCAAGCTCGCTAGTTTAATAATCTGTTAGATTGCCTTTATTTCGGCAAAACCAACCCAATGTTGGAACACTCAATCGTCATGCAATTTTTCTGTTCCGCTGGGACATCTAAAACTAAAATACTTTTTTGAAACTTAAGTCAATTGCATTTTTTCTACGTCATTTGCCATTTGTTATTGAAAAGAGTCATTTGCTTTTTGTTTAACACATGAAATCGACCAATATTTAAAAAAAAAACACAAATAAACTCATTAAAAAACTAAATTTGAGCGTAAACAAGCTTTCTATTTTTTCCTCAAAAAAACTAACAAAAATACGACACAAATAAATGTTTTCAAATCAATCATGAGAAATTAAAATATACTTAAAAACGTCAAGCGCTTAGAAAAAAGTTGAAGTAAGCGGACTAAATTGTTTTGCGGGGTCCGATAAATAACACGACAGCTGATAAGATGACAACCACTTTTGGCGGGATTTTAAGACAACGCTACACACAAATTCTCAAATTGAATTTCTGAGAAATATGCTTAGCTTAAATAGGAACAGTTTAACTTACATGTTTTATTTCTCATTTGTCGTCTTAATGCCATGACGTTTTCATTTCATGTCGTCTTAATGTCTTGTCGTCTTATTTACCTAACACCTCTTCGAGCACATTGATCTATTAGATTAAAAACAATGTGGTACTGAGAAATAGCACACGATTCTGTAGAAGCGCCTTCGTCAACACTTACGACGAGCTTCAGAGTTCGCCGCATTTTTCGATAGCTCCGTTTATAAAAAAAATCGAGTTTTTTTTTATCTAAAGTGACATTCTTGTCTTGAGTGAGGATAAGCAAAGCATGTCAATGGGTTCCTCGAATTTTATGGCCGGCAAAAAAAAACTTCTGAGCGTATGTTGAAATTAGGCTTGGACTAATTTTCTAGCAATTTGCATCAGGTTTCGTTTTCGTACTATGATAATCAGGAACACCCATAAAAAGTCATTTATCAAAAACATGTAGTATGCTAAATGCCTCCAGAGTGAAAACCCGAGATTTAAATCACGACCATTGCGAACCAAAAATTCGAATCTTTCCGCGACACAAATGGGATGTCGCAAAATCTGCCGACAAAAATCTGTCCGGTTTTGAGCGACCTAATAACTGTATGTCGCGAGGCATCTGAATATGTCTCGACAATGCATTAAACACCAATTTGAACATGGGTCTGAAGTCTTCAAGCCTTTCGGAAAACTGCAAATTGCATGGAAAAGCAAAGAAAGAAAAAAATAAGCTGTAATCATTCAAGAAAAATGTTGATATACACATGCAGTATTGGAGGCGCTTTTATTCAACGGATACAGTGCTGATTTAAATTATCCGGGCGAAACCCACAAGACCTGAAATTGAAAACGAGTTTTTCTCAAATGGTGTTGACTTTAGGTGAAAACAATGAAAAGAAAACATGGTTGGAGTATTAGCAGAATTAATATGGTGCACGTTACTCTGTGAAATTCGAGCCCAACCTTTTAGAAAAAAAACTAATAGTTTTTGACTTTTTAATCAATCAAAAATTACGCCAAAACTAACAAGTCAAATACTGACAAAATTTATATCAAAAGAAGCCCCTAACGCAGTACACAAAAGTTTGCAAAAAGTATACTCTCCAAAAATGTTATAAATTTAATATATTTGCTAGTTTGAAAGTAAAAAAGTCCTTTTAGTCTATAAAACACTAACTTGTTTAAAAACAACGTATAAACGTTTTGTACACTTTTTTTTATGAGTATTACCTCCTTCAACTATTTTTTGCAGTAGTTAACTCAGTAACTTTGGCGTAATTTTTAATTGACTAATTTAATCAAAAACAATCAACATCTCTGGCCTGATTTTTGATAAACAAATTACACCATACTAATTCTGCAATTTTTGTTTTCATTGTTTTTCACCGGAAGTCAACTCAATTTGTTAAAAACGCTTTTTATGCATATGGTCCGGAGATATAGAATCTGCACTGTATTAACTCTACGTGACATTTAAAACCGAAATATGACTGTCCACAAAATTTTGACACAGGGAAGAAACTGCGCTTTGCAAACACTAGCGAGAACACGACAAAAAAGCATCTCTCTGAATAGAAATAAAAAAAAAGTAGAAATAAGCCTGGAATAAAAAGAATAAGTAAAGTAATTGAGCAACGCGACAGAATTGAACCTGAGACCTAACGTCTCGGCCACGGACACTTAATAATAGGCAAAACATTAGCAACGGATAAAGCAGACAATATATGCTATGAAATTTCAGAAAAGTTATTATAGCAAAAGTGCCACCCAATGAGCACTTTTTTTGTTAGGTTAGGAAAAATAAAGTAGATACTGATACACTCCGCTCGCAATCTCGCAAGTATAATCAGAGAAACTTGACACAGATAAATGCGACACGCCCTTCAAACAGTGAATTCTTTTCATTGTACAATATTATCTGCGTAAAACAAAACACTCTCGAGTTATTTCTTCATTTTTCTATTCTTCCACTTAATTGTTTTAAAAGTTGCAACATCAAAATCCAAAGTAAGCGTTGACCATTTTACACCCATATATAAAAAGCATTTTTATTTTCGAGTTAGGTAGGAAAAAAAGTTGCATCGTTCTATTACACTACGTTTAGCTTCTGTAATTGTAAATATGTCCTAAATGGTATAAGTTTAGTTGTATGTACCAGAGTGTCGTGACACCTCTCCAGGTGGAGTAGTTCGATCATGCGGTCCACAGCAGCCAGCTTCTCCACTGAACTCTTGCCCACCATTCGCATATTGGCACTGAACATCAAGTTCTCACGAACAGTCAAAAACTCAGACAGATTGTCGTCCTACAAAAGAAGAAAAAACTAAATATATTTCGTTAATTACAAAGAAACAACTCGTTTAACTTTAACTAACTACCCTCCAGATTAATTTTCTGGCTGCTGAACAGTATAAAAACCATTTCAGTAGGCCTCAAAAAATTCGCCCAGGAGCAAATAAGATTTCATTTAGTTTAAATTAATATATTGATATTTGCTGAGGAATAATCAGACCGACTATTTTACAGTTATATTAATTATTATCATAGGAGTTTAGGTAGGATTAAAATGATAAAGCTTGTTTTTGGGGTTTCACTTTACGTGATCCAACGTTCACTTGTTGTTCCGATCGCGAAGTGGGAAGACAGATTGCTCCGCGGTCAAATTAATGTTCCGATGTCAGAGTGGTAAAAATTACCGCTCCGAAGTTAATTTATTATTTCGATTGCAGAATGTGGAAAAAGGCTGCTTCAAAATTAATTTATTGTTACGATTGCGAAGTAGGAAGACAGACTGCTCCGAAGTCAAAATATTGTTCCGGTCGCCGAGTGGGAAGAACTACTGCTGCGAAATTATTTTATTGTTCCGATCGCGGAGTGAGAAGATCTAATGATCCGAAGTCAATTTATTGTTCCGATCGCGAAGTGGGAAGACAGATTGCTCCGCGGTCAAAATAATGTTCCGATATCAGAGTGGTAAGAATTACCGCTCCGAAGTTAATTTATTATTCCGATCCCAGAATGTGAAAAAAAGACTGATTCGAAATAATTTTATTGTTACGATTGCAAAGTAGGAAGACAGACTGCTCCGAAGTCAAAATTTTGTTACGGTGGCCGAGTGGGAAGAATTACTGCTCCGAAACTATTTTATTGTTCCGAGCGCGGAGTGAGAAAATCTAATGATCCGAAGTCAGTTTATTGTTCCGATCGCGAAGTGGGAAGACAGATTGCTCCGCAGTCAAATTAAGGTTCCGATGTCAGAGTGGTGAAAATTACCGCTCCGAAGTTAATTTATTATTCCGATCCCAGAATGTGAAAAAAAAGACTGATTCGAAATTAATTTATTGTTACGATTGCGAAGAGGGAGACAGACTGCTCCGAAGTCAAAATTTTGTTCCGGTCGCCGAGTGAGAAGAATTACTGCTCCGAAACTATTTTATTGTTCCGAGCGCGGAGTGAGAAGATCTAATGAGCCGATGTCAATTGTTCTTCCGATCGAGAATTGGGAAAACAGATTGTTCCGATATCAAAGTAATGTTCCGATATCAGAGTGGTAAGAATTACCTCTCCGAAGTTAACTTCTTATTTCGATCGCAGAATGTGAAAAACGACTGCTTCGAAATTAATTTATTGTTACGATCGCGAAGTAGAAACACAGACTGCTCCGAAGTCAAAAAAATTGTTCCGGTCGCCGAAAGGGAAGAATTATTGCTCCGAAATTATATTATTGTTCCAATCGCAGAGTGAGAAGATCTAATGATCCGAAGTCAATTTATTGTTCCGATCGCGAAGTGGGAAAACAGATTGCTACGAGGTCAAATTAATGTTCCGATGTCAGACTGGTAAGAATTACCTCTCCGAAGTTAATTTATTGTTTCGTTCGCAGAATGTAAAAAAAAGACTGCTTCGAAATTAATTTATTGTTACGATTGCGAACTAGGAAGACAGACTGCTCCGAAGTCAAAATTTTGTTCCGATCGCCGAGTGGGAAGAATTACTGCTCCGAAACGATTTTATTGTTCCGAGAGTGGCGTGAGAAAATCTAATGATCCGAAGTCAATTTATTATTCCGATCGCGAAATGGGAAGACAGATTGCTCCGCAGTCAAATTAAGGTTCCGATGTCAGAGTGGTAAAAATTACAGCTCCGAAGTTAGTTTCTTGTTTCGATCGCAGAATGTGAAAAACGACTGCTTCGAAATTAATTTATTGTTACGATCGCGAAGTAGGAACATAGACTGCTCCGAAGTCAAAATCTTGTTCCGGTCGCCGAAAGGGAAGAATTGCTGCTGCAAAACTTTTTTATTGTTCCGATCGCGGAGTGAGAAGATCTAATGATCCGAAGTCAATTTATTGTTCCGATCGCGAAGTGGGAAGACAAATTGCTCCGAGATAAAATTAATGTTCCGATGTCAGAATGGTAAGAATTACCTCTCCGAAGTTAATTTATTGTTTCGTTCGCAGAATGTGAAAAAAGGCTGCTTCGAAATTAATTTTTCTTACGATCGGCAAGTAGGAAGACAGACTGCTCCGAAGTCAAAATATTGTTCCGGTCGCCGAGTGGGAAAGAATTACTGCTCCAAAACTATTTTATTGTTCCGATCGCGGAGTGAGAAGATCTAAAGATCCGAAGTCAAATTTTTGTTCCGATCGCGAAGTGGGAAGACAGATTGCTACGAGGTAAAATTAATATTCCGATGTCAGAGTGGTAAGAATTAACTCTCCAAGTTGATTTATTATTTCGACTGCTGAGGTCAAAATATTGTTCCAGCCGCCGAGTGGGAAGAATTGAAACTCCGAAACTGTTTTATTGTACCGATCGCGGAGTGAGAGGATCCAATGATCAGAAGGCAATGTATGGTTCCGATGGCGGAGTGGGTAGAAGAACTGCTCCGAACCTAATTTATTGTTCCAATCGAGTTGGAAAAAATAATGCTCAAAGTAATTTTTTTGAGTCGATGGCGGAGTGGGAAGAAATACTGCTCTGATGTCAATTAATTGTTCCGATAGTGGATTGGGAAGAAATACTGCTCCGAAATCAATTCATAGTTCTCACCGGGGAGTGGGAAAATTACTGCTCCGAAATTATTTCTTGTTGCAATCGCGGAGTCGGAAAAAATACTGCTCCAAAGTCAATTTCTATTCCAATCGCGGAGTGGGGAAAAATTATTGCTTCAAAGTCATTTTATTGTTCCGGTCTCGGAGTGGAAAAAAACGCTCCAAAGTCAATTTTGTATTCGATCGCTGAGAGAGAAAAACAATTCTTCGAAATTAATTTATTGTTCTGATCGCGAAGTGGGAAAACGAATGAGAGGTCAATTTTCGTTCCAATTGCAGAGTGGGAAGAAATACTGCTGCGAAGTTATTTCATTGTTTCGATCGCGGAGTGAGAAGAATTATTGCTCCGAAGTCAGCTTATTGTTGCGAATGCGTAGTGAGAAGAAATACTGCTCCAAAGTCAATTTTGTATTCGAGCGCGGAGTAAGAAAAAATTGCTTCGAAATTAAATAATTGTTCCGATCGCGAAGTGGGAAAACAGACTGCTCCGAAGTCAAATTTTTCTTGCGGTCGCGGATTGGGAAAAATATTGCATCGAAGTTATTTCTTTGTTTTGATCGCGAAGTGGGAAGAAATACTGCTACAAGTTAAATTACTGTTCTGATTGTGGAGTGAGAAGCAAAAAATGCTCCGAAGTCAATTTTGTATTCGATCGCTGAGAGAGAAAAACAATTCTTCGAAATTAGTTTATTGTTCTGATCGCGAAGTGTGAAAACGAATGAGAGGTAAATTTTCGTGTTCCAATTGCAGAGTGGGAAGAAATACTGCTGCGAAGTTATTTCCTTGTTTCGATCGCGGAGTGAGAAGAATTATTGCTCCGAAGCCAGCTTATTGTTGCGAATGCGTAGTGAGAAGAAATACTGCTCCAAAGTCAATTTTGTATTCGATCGCGGAGTAAGAAAAAATTGCTTCGAAATTAAATAATTGTTCCGATCGCGAAGTGGGAAAACCGACTGCTCCGAAGTCAAATTTTTCTTGCGGTCGCGGATTGGGAAAAATATTGCATCGAAGTTATTTCTTTGTTTTGATCGCGAAGTGGGAAGAAATACTGCTACAAGTTAAATTACTGCTCTGATTGTGGAGTGAGAAGCAAAAAATGCTTCGAAGTCAATTTGTTGTTGCGGAGTGGAAAAGAAAGCGCACCAAAATCATTTTGTGTTCAATCGAGGAGTGGGAAAAACAATGCTTCGAAATTAATTTATTGTTCCGATCGCGAAGTGGGAAGACAGACTGCTTCGAGGTCAATTTATTGTTCCAACTGCAGAGTGGGAAGAAATACTGCTGCGAAATTAATTTATTGTTCCGATCTCGGAGTGAAAAGAAATATTGCTCCGAAGTCAGCTTATTGTTGCGAATGCGTAGTGAGAAGAAATACTGTTCCAAAGTCAAATAAATTACTGTTCCGGTTGCGGAGTGGGAAAAAGCGCACCGAAAACAATTTTGTCTTCGATCGCGGAATGGGAAAAAATTGCTTCGAAATTAGTTTAGTCTTCCGATCGCGAAATGGGAAATAATACTGCTCCGAAGTCAATTTATTGCTCCAATTGTGTTGCGGGAATAACTTTTCAGGTCAGGACGTGTTTTTTACACAAATTCAGATTCCACAGAAAGAGTTTTCACAATAACGAGAGATATGGCATACCGAAGGTCTGTCAGTCATGATTCGAGCTGCAATGACTTATTTAGAAGCAAATTTTTTCATTGTCTACAACCAGTATCAACGAGACGTTTTCTTTCTGATTTTCAGCATACTAAAGCGTCAAAAACCAATGCCAAAAATACTTTGTAGCGTTTGATATTCAACTTTGCGGAAACAAATTCTTTGAAATTCAACTTGTGGACAATCTTATAGAAAAAGCAAGCGTCGCCTCGCATTCAGAATTGGACGGCGTGTAAGCGTGATTACTTAAGTAAGACACGTGGTTACGTGGATGTGATTACTTAAGTAATACACGTGGTTACGTGGACGTGATTACTTAAGTAAGACACGTGGTTACGTGGATGTTGGACGTGATTAATTGAGTATGGCTTCCCACCCACCTGTGGCACGTATGCTGATATGGCTCTGAAGGTGTTGGGAGGGATGGAGTTTCCATTCACTAGAATGTGTCCTGAGAGGTGTTTCTTCTGCATGGGTTTATGACAGGCCATCAAATCCAGAATAGTGGTCTTTCCACACCCAGAGGGACCCAGAATCCCATTCAGACCTGGCTCGAAGTGAAGACTGGAAATGAAAGAACAAGAGATTGCGAGCTAAAATAGCTGGCAATTATGAGATTATACGACTCTTATCCGATAATGAAAGTGCTGCAGTTACAAAGATTTACCTTTTAAAAACACGTACATACGTTTTTGAGGTAGTTTTTTAGGTCGTTACCGTCAAATTCAAGAAATAGAGGGTTACCCAATTATTTGGAAGCTTCGCGCAGGATTTTCAACCGGAAGAAATTTTTCCGTAAACAATCTTAGTTCACTTACGAGAGTTATGTTGCAAAACTTGAAATTATTGCAAATCTTTCAACTTTTTCAGTCGACACGTCTAAATAAAAAATTTCCTGACATTAAAGAGCCCGGAGTAGTTATCTAACTAAAGTGATCACTTTTAACAAAGCCAATCTTGAAACGTTTTGAGAAACAAAGCCAATAATCTTGGAGTTACTTAGTTCACTAGTTAAAAATTTGATCAATTAACTTCAACTTACGAGATGTTATGAAGAATTTGTTTCGATTTGGATCTCCAGTATGCTTTCACTGAATAATTGACATCTACCAAACTAACTGTGAAACAGTTGTCATCAAACTGTTTCATACCATTGCCGGCATTCCTGCCAGCTTCCAAATTGACGTTGTCATAATCCTGTGGTCTTAGTTTCGAATCCAGGCCATTACTTAATATTTTCACCACGTTATTTCTGCTGATTGGCAATTCGTCCTGTTCGTTGTTTTCGTTTGCGATATATGTTTCTAGTTTTTCTGCTTTGCTTGATAATATTTCAGCATTCGGAGTACTTGTAATTTTTTCTTCTTGATTTTCTTCAGTCATTTTTGAAATAACAATCATCCGCCTCAAACAAGCACAGTTTTCTGTCCACTAGTGTGTTATGCGTTGCTATAAACAGAACGGAAAAAATGACAAGATAACGAAAATCCAAGCAAATGATAATGAAAAAATTTGTGGTTCAACCGCAAAAAAGTAACATAGCACTCAATTTGTTGAGCAACAAATAACACCTTTTTTACTTATAATCAAAGTTTTTGCTTTGCAACTTTATTACTTCAAATAGTTGGAATATTTGACACAGGATAGGTATAGTACTGGTTATAAATTGCACGTATAAACAGCACATGCAAGCTAGCACTTTCATTGTACCACGTAGCTATTTTCACGTTACTTTAGTCGGTATAAAATACAGTTGGTTTGTTAAGCTGCGAAGGAATCACAAATTGATTTCCATTGGAGCGTCCGCTACATTAGGAAAAATTAAAGGAACTTAGGGATAGAATTTGATTTCAAACTGGTTCAACGAACCAGCCAGTTCTTTGAAAAGGTTCAAGCAGGCGGGATTTTTAGCTATAGCATATGCGTTCATTTTATAGCACACTGAAAAAAAACGAATGTCAGGTTATAGCTAGTATTTATGACTTGCAGCAGGCTAATTGTTCCGACTTTTATAACGAAAGTAACGGAATATTTGTGCTTGGGGTGGGTTTTTTTTTCCCGACAAATTTCGACTATTTAACTAGCCTTTTTTGACGGCGTTTTTATATCATTCAAAAGGAATTGTTGTCCTGGGCTTAAATTTGAAAAGATATTTCACCTGTGATCATTTTTCGTAAAGTTATGGAGGTTTAAATATGGCCATTTTGGGACAATTAACGCGCGATATATTTCGTGCTATTAACGCGTGAGCGGAGATTTAATCCATCTAAGAAGACGTTCCAATTTGGTTGATGGAAGCTTATTTGCCATAATTTATATGGAACTACGAGCGAAATTTATCATTTTGTACTTTATATGGCGGGTGGGGTGGTAATTTTTCACAAAAAGCTCAAAATAAAAAAAAAATTTAATTAAATTTAATTTTTTCATGTTTCTACTGCTCTATAGACCTAAGAAAGCAGTCGGAACATTCAGGGCTTCGCCCTGATACGAGCAGTCTTGTTTAAAGTTAAGCAGTGTTAGTGTTATTTTGTTTGTTTAGACATTCGATCTTAGTGAAAACTTGCATCTTTATCCCCCACCCAAACTCTATTGAGAAATGAAACTGGATAAAACGGCAATTACGATCGAGCTGAGCACTCAACGCAATTATAATAAGAAAAGCCAAAAACAACTCAGTTTTAACTGTTCATAATGAGAGGTCTTTCTAATCTATTATAAAACAGAACAAAACTGCTCGTATCAGGGCGAAGCCTTGATTTTTCCGACTGCCTTTTAAGGCCTATGAAGCAGTAATAACATCAAAAAATTATATGTAATAAATTGAAACGAATTTTTTTTTGAGATTTGAAATTTTTTGTGACAATCATCCCCCACACGCCATATAAAGTACAAAGGTATAGATTTCGCTCCTAGTAACAAATCAATTATGGCAAACAAGCTTCCTTCAACCAATTTGGAACGATTTCTAAGACGGATTAAATCTCCGCTGACGCGTTAATAGCGCGAAATATATTGCTCGTTAATTGTCCCAAATTGGCCAAATTGCTGTTTTTTAAACCCCCATAACTTTACAAAAAATGATCACAGGTGAAACATCTTTTCAAAATTAAGCTCAAGACAACAATACCTTTTGAATGATATTAAAAAAGTTCCTTCGAAAATGGCTAGTTAAAAAGTCGAAATTTGTCTGAAGAAAAACAACTCACCCCAAGCACAAACATTCCGTTACTTTCGTATCGAAAGTCGGAACAAAAACAATACCAGTCCAAAAACAGTTTAAAAAATCCGAATTAGGAAACTCAACTAACCTGATACGCTGAATGGGAATTGATAGAAAAATAGCTGTCCTGTAAATTAAATTTATTCAGCGTTTTTACAGAACATTTAAAATTTGAATGACAAAAAGGCACCAAAGGTCGAATGCGAGTAAATTTTAGAGCTGATTTTGTGCTTTAAAATTCTACATAGTACACAACGTTTGGTTCAATAAAAACTGAAATTGCGTTTGGTGGCGTTTTAATTTGCACAGGTAAAAGCAAAAACAAACGTAAAGCAATTTGTCCCATGACGTGATAAAAACCAATACATGTAACAAAACAACATTTTTTGCTTAATAAGTTATACGATATACGGTCAAAAATGCACCGAAAATTCTGATTTTTTGTCGCTCTTATGTTATACAAACAAACCGACTTCTAAACAACTTCGCTCACCTTTTTCTTTCAGATCTGCTAATAATTTTTTTAGACATTCGATCTTAGTGAAAACTTGCATCTTTATCCCCCACCCAAACTCTATTGAGAAATGAAACTGGATAAAACGGCAATTACGATCGAGCTGAGCACTCAACGCAATTATAATAAGAAAAGCCAAAAACAACTCAGTTTTAACTGTTCATAATGAGAGGTCTTTCTAATCTATTATAAAACAGAACAAAACTGCTCGTATCAGGGCGAAGCCTTGATTTTTCCGACTGCCTTTTAAGGCCTATGAAGCAGTAATAACATCAAAAAATTATATGTAATAAATTGAAACGAATTTTTTTTTGAGATTTGAAATTTTTTGTGACAATCATCCCCCACACGCCATATAAAGTACAAAGGTATAGATTTCGCTCCTAGTAACAAATCAATTATGGCAAACAAGCTTCCTTCAACCAATTTGGAACGATTTCTAAGACGGATTAAATCTCCGCTGACGCGTTAATAGCGCGAAATATATTGCTCGTTAATTGTCCCAAATTGGCCAAATTGCTGTTTTTTAAACCCCCATAACTTTACAAAAAATGATCACAGGTGAAACATCTTTTCAAAATTAAGCTCAAGACAACAATACCTTTTGAATGATATTAAAAAAGTTCCTTCGAAAATGGCTAGTTAAAAAGTCGAAATTTGTCTGAAGAAAAACAACTCACCCCAAGCACAAACATTCCGTTACTTTCGTATCGAAAGTCGGAACAAAAACAATACCAGTCCAAAAACAGTTTAAAAAATCCGAATTAGGAAACTCAACTAACCTGATACGCTGAATGGGAATTGATAGAAAAATAGCTGTCCTGTAAATTAAATTTATTCAGCGTTTTTACAGAACATTTAAAATTTGAATGACAAAAAGGCACCAAAGGTCGAATGCGAGTAAATTTTAGAGCTGATTTTGTGCTTTAAAATTCTACATAGTACACAACGTTTGGTTCAATAAAAACTGAAATTGCGTTTGGTGGCGTTTTAATTTGCACAGGTAAAAGCAAAAACAAACGTAAAGCAATTTGTCCCATGACGTGATAAAAACCAATACATGTAACAAAACAACATTTTTTGCTTAATAAGTTATACGATATACGGTCAAAAATGCACCGAAAATTCTGATTTTTTGTCGCTCTTATGTTATACAAACAAACCGACTTCTAAACAACTTCGCTCACCTTTTTCTTTCAGATCTGCTAATAATATTTGGTCTCCGAAATCAAAACTGATAACAAAATAATATTGACCAATCACTCAAGATTTATTAAAAAACATCAAATACAATTTTTGAAGCGTTTAATCAGCTTCAAAAAATTTTGAACCATCTATCTACATCAAAAACTCAATGTTAGCCACATCAAAAACTCAATGTAGATTGGTACAAAATGAGGTTTTGATAGCAAAAGTTGTTACACATAAAGCGAATCTGACGACCCAAATTAAACGCAAAAATTGTGAACAACTTTCTAGAATTGATCAAATAAAACACGGTTTCCAATGTCGAGCTAAAAGAGATTAAAACTCCATAGCGATATAGCAAAGACAGATTTGAGTTTGGAAGACATTTGAACGCGTTGCTCTTAATCTAGAAGATCAATCTATCAACCAAACCTGTATAAGATAGGACCATGTCTTGTTAAGCTCTAAATATCTCTGAATTGAAAGTTTTGAGCTCACCTACAAAGACATGCTGTGACCTAAATAACTTTCGAAAGAAAATATTTGGAGCTGAGAACAAACCCTTGCATTTGTACATATGCGAGCTGAACCAAGGTTGGCATCACTGAAGATAGGAAAGTGGATGGCAACAATTGAGATCAAAACATGATCATCTGTCTCAAAAAATTTAAACGAAATTAGAAGAATCAAAAAATTGTTTTAATCATTTTCATTTGTTTTAACTGGTTATAGAACTGTTTTTTCTTTTTTATGTAGAGACGGCGACGCAGACACAAATAAAAAGCAACAAAAAAAGCTCCAAAAACTTTTAAAATGTTATTTAACAGGATAACAAAAACTTTTTTTTACACACATTCTTCACTAATAAAAAGATGTGCTTTTAAGTTGCCTAGAAGAATTCGTTTCTTTATTCGTTTTTAAGGGAATATTCATGCTTGGGGTGATTTGATTTATTCGGGCCAATTTGGGCAAACGAATTAAAAATTTTTAATCATTTTTTCCAAATTAAGATATTGAAACCTGCAATTATTTTTTGCTAAGTAATGGGCTTTGAAAACGGCGAACTTGGCCAATTTTTAAACAAACACATGCGTGCTTATAAGATTATGTCTATGATGCTGAATGCGTTACACGAATTAATTATGTAGGGCAATTTGTCGAAATTGGTTCGAATTGAAACAGGACTGCTTGTATCAGAGCTAAACCATGATTGTTCCGACTGCCTGTTCACTTTAATAAAAAGTTTTAACTTTGATGAATAATTTTAATATGAAAAATATTAAATACGCACCAAAAAGGTTAGAAATTCTTTTTTTTTAAATTTGTATTTCCTAATTTAAACCCCCACACGCTATGTGCAGTACAAAGAGCTCTATTTTCCGCCTGATTACGTATTGATAAAAGCAAATTCCTTGCCTCCGTTTAATTTGGAGCTTGGGATTGAAAAGTAAAAATATATCCCGCGTTATTTATCCCAATTGGAGTTATAGTGGTCCAAGTTGTCCCAATCCCCCATAACTCAAGAACTTAGTTTTCCAGATAAGTTTTTCTAATTTTGAGCCAAAAACGGATATTGAAATTTCTGTGAAGAAAAACCCATTCCGAAAACAAATATTCTGTCACTGAGTACAAACATTACAATGGCTCATCAGCTCGCCTCATGATTTCAGCTCGAAAATAGGAAGCAAGAAGCGAGCAAATTAGTCATATCAATCCCCTATTTGATTACTCAAGCTACTTGCTATTGTCAGTCCAAATGTTGTAGTTTATCATAAAAAAATTTGATTCACAAAACTTTTAAAAAATGAAAAAAAAGCATTTGGAACATTCAATCTTTGGTCTGATATAAAAGCAGTCTAGTATTTTCATTATCAGTTTTTTTTCCATTTTTACGACTAGAATTAAGTTTTGCTCTTGTTTTTTGTGAGACCATCTTGTAGGTTATAGTAGGTAGCGAATAATAGGTTTCCTGTAGTTCAATCGTCCACTTGGAGTCGACTTATTAATTGAGCCACTAGAGTTTAACTTAATGAGCCACTAGATCAATCTGAAAATTCGTATGAAATAAAAAATAAAATCCTCCCATCTGCACCCCCAACTAGTCAAAATCAGGGGCAAGGGTTTTGACTCGATCAAACAAAACTAACTAGACAAAGGAAGTCAATGTCTCCCACCGTGAACTCGTCTACCTTTTCGAGATAGCAGTGGAGCGCATACCGCTACAATCTGCAGTATTCTTTTCGAATGTACGCACCGAAACAACGCCTTCATGACTTGTCGGATAGGGCATTGGCCTTGCTTTCACCCATGATTAACGATACTTCACAGAGCACCATTAGGATACAAGCGGACAAGGTAGCACCTCACCACCTGTGCTAGTGTCTTGGTTTGAGTCGAAGTTTTGCCGATTCAGTTCGGGTCTTGAGACGGTCGGTTCTGATGCGCTGATCAGTTTCACATGGTAATTTGGCATGTACTTAGTCCGACCAAACCACTGACATAGACAAATGTGTTGTTACAGTCTTGTAAGGGCAAACCAAAATGTCTTTTTTAGACCCCCTTGCTGGGCTGCTGGTGGATCTCTGCGATTCTTTCACCACTTTCAACTTCTTGAACAATGCTGTCAACTCCTTGATTATTTTCACCACTATGGGAGGTCTGGACCGAGGCATTTAAATTCTTGAGATCTCTGCTCATCTTTTTCTTGCAATGAAACCTTCTGCCACACTTTTCAAAAGCACATTGAACTGTTTGCAACCTTTTGCCTTTGCTTGAAAATCCCCAAAATCCTTGAACTAAGTTTAGTGCTCGAATTGTGCATTCAGTTGTCCTGGTAACACTTTATTTTGAGCCCATGGTTGTCAAAATCTGCCTTTAGCTACATAATTGGTATACGACGGGCGTTGTTTTGATTTTCTCATTCAATTTCTTGTCGTGCCGGTTTTTTCTAGCCTTAAGCGCAAAAAAAATCTTGCCATCAGTCAGAAACTCAGCGTACTACGACCAGATGGGAATAACGTTTTTTCTTTACCTTCCAGTTTCTGTTATATTTTGTTACCAATCAGACCAATTTTCAGTTAAATGGGAATTAGGTTGATCTCATTTTTCATTTAGAAATGGCATGCAAAAAGAATTATATCAGAACTATTTCATTTTCCGACTAATGCAACTATTGTTGTATGCGCAGATTTACTTTATTCAACGCATCATTTTTCCTGTCAATGAAACTGGGAGGAAATTTGTCTAGGGTGCTTTAGTTTTTCCTATTTTTGTTTTCCATGCAAAATCTAGAACCAAAAACTCATCGGAATAGGTCGAATGATATACCATTTTAACACTCTTTCAGTCCTTACTCGAACCACAAAAAACTATCAAAAAGCTGTCCTAGTGTTGAGAAAACGCGGTTCGCAGTTTTTGAGTTTTAGTGTAATTTCGACCAAGTAAAACGAGCAAGAAGATCTTACAAGACTCAGTGTCATTTGATCACTCATTTGATACTCAGAGAACACTGGTTTTGGAAACTTCACTTGCGTTTCCTTGGCAATAAAAAAAGTTAAAAATCAATAAAATTTTCTACTAAAAGCAAAAAAACTTTTTAACATTTTGATTTTTTATGGCTGTGATTTGTTCGAAGACAACTGTTGAAACTGTTGTCAATCATGCCTAATTTAATAACATTCTACGCGTTTGTTTAGCAACACGCATAAAAAAGACAATTTCGTAAAAATAGAAAAGTTTTTCGAAGTTTTTTTATTCATTGTTGTCGGAACACTGTGCTACTAGCACAACAACCAGAAGTTCTTGTTTTATATTTCATTACTTCACTCAAATAAATACTTGACGATGAAATATCTTAAGAGGCATCAGTCAAATATAGAATAACCTGCAGTTCGTTAAAACAAGTTAAAAGATTATCCGACTACGGTAATCGAAGCATGGACTTCCTATTCACTACTTCTTGTTCTTCCACACTGACGCAGCTTCCTTGTTATCTTCATTCTTTACCAATACCCTTGCTTAAACATGAACACTTCATCTAATAATAAATCCCAGCAACTATTGAACCCATCTTGAGAAAGCGGATAAAACACCTGCTGCTAAAACGCTCGCCAATCCGAAATTGAGCAAAATGTGCCACTTAAATTGTACAAAAGTGAACTATTAGTATGAACCACGATTTTGCTTGTGTACATCAGCAGAGATACATAATAAACTGGCTGAAATTGCAATAACCTTATTTCAAAAGAGTGGGTTGCATAAGGCGTCGCTTGAGTTATCTTACTGGTTGCGACTTTAATTGGAAAAGGTGACCTCGTTAATCTTCATTTGTGTAGGCTATTGTTCAATAACAGTTAAGCACCAGGACGACCAAAAGACACTTCAAAGAAAAAAAATTGATTTTTTATAACACTTTTTTTCCAAAAATTTGATGATGCTCAGCACGTATTTTGGTTAATTCATAAAATATTTTCAAGGAAATCCTTACATTTTATCATTTGTTTGCAGAGGATTCCCACACAAAGTGTGCTTGGCAGCATCAAAATTAACTCAGCAATAACAGAATCCCAATCCAAATTTATGCGTTATGCAATTATGGCTCTTTCTCATGGCCTATCTAAAAACCATATATGGTGCCTGTCGGCAAATGAACCGGTAAATAGTTTCGCCTGATTGAAGCAGAATAACTTCCAGGAATTTTCTTTATAATTTTTTTAGCAACTATTAACGCTGACGAAATTTCTGTGCTACTAGCAGAACAACCGGTTAATAATTAAAAAACAATTGCTATTTTGTAAAGCTAGCATAATTCAAAATGACCTAAAAACCAAATTAACCATTCACCGTCTCAAAATATGTAAATCGAGGAAAGCCGTTCTGTAAGAACTCTGGTCGGAACAATCTGTACTGCTTTTTCTTGAACTCCATCAAACCAAAGAGCGTTTCATCAAAGCTAAATTCAAAATGAGCATTAAAAATTACGTTTAGCTCTTGACACTTACAAATCTTTCAACATCAAGATCTGACTGAATAAAAGAATGATCAAAAGCAATTTACATGGTCATAAGAAAATTTGATTTGATTCAAATTCCTGTAAATTTATTGAATACAGGTAAGCACCCAAAAAGGGGATTTTATCAACATAGACCTCAATTGAGCTTGGATAACAGACGAACTTTTCCCCAACAAAGCACGCGCGACTTCAAACTTATTAGCTTTAATGTTTTCTGTTTTAGTTTGCAAAATAAAAAAAAATTATTCCAGGAAAAATTAATTTGAAGTCTTAGATCATGCTCAAAATTAATGAAACCGCATATGCATCATTTACAGTAAAATTTGACAATTTCTAAATTAAATTGAAAAATCTACAACATTTCATTATAATTCAATTAAGTTTCAGTTTGTCAGCTAGCCTGAAATCCGAGGGCGTAAGCATTCACTAAACTAGGGCAATATGTTATTTCAAACGCGTCTTCTTTCAAAGGGTAAATATCTCCGTCTAAGTTGATGAAAGACTTAGTTTCACTTCGTTCTTTGTTTCCGTCTAACAAGTCGAACAGGACTTTGTTGCTTTTATAACAATTAACTGTATCGTCATTGTAAATTTTCTGTGAATAGAGGCCCAGATTGACTAGGAATCCAGTCTGCTGAAATATTGTACATCCAGGCGTCACGAAAACGTCTCCGCTAGCTCTGGGTTTCCTTGGGACTTCGCCGGCGTCTGAGATCCCGTTGACTAACATCATTAGGTCTTTAAACTCCCCTAAAAAAAAACTAATCTACTAAATTATTGGAGCAACTTTTCGAGGGACAATTTTGGTGCTACTGTACAACTCCTTTTTGTATTTATTTTCAAGCCAATCAATTTATTCGGCTCAAAACTTCTCGAGCAAACCTTTTTTTTTTTAAAAAAAAAACCATTATAAATTATTATATTTTTTGGACACTTTCGGTATTTCGGAAATGCCATTGGACCATATTAAAATGATTGAGTTTTAATTTTAAAAGCATTTAGATCTCTTACCTTCGATGCTTCGTTCTCCGGCATTCGATTGACTGTTGTGTTTCGATGTATTCTGGAGCTGTTGCATTTTGATATTGGCCCTGAATGATTTGTGTTTGAGCATTGCACTGGTTACTCCTATTATATACTTACCAGGTCCCAAAAATTTCCACCGGTCTGAAATCAAATTAAGAAACAAATAAAAAGAAGTAAAATACATCTGCAGTGTACATGGTATATAATAAAAATAAGGTATATGCTTGTATTTGAACTTAACGATCTAGACCCAGAATTTTGAACCAGCTAAACAATACTTCATTTATTTTCATTCTTGTGGACAACCTTTCGGATCTAGACTACTATTCGTCGGTGAAAAAATTAGTTTCAGACAAAAAAACAGTATTTCTTTTTGATTACTTGAAAACCTTTATCTTATCATAAAATGTTCGAAATGGAGCGTAAGTTTGCAGTACAAGTTACATTGAGATAGATCAGAGAAAATCCTATTAAAACACTAATTTATACCCATTGGTGTGACTACTAACTTGCGACTACAATGGCGTCTGATGTGATTCCATAATTGACACATACAATTGCCAATCCCACTAAGCTTCTCTCTTTATCTCTATTGCGTACACACACCACAGGTAGCGGAGTTGTCTTGCCAAGGACCTAATATCAATTGAATCATGAGAGAAAAGTGGGCCATTCCGTTACAAATAATCTTCACTTTTGTTCCGAGTCACTTTTTTCAGTGGGCGAAGAAAAAAATTTGGTTTTGAGTGTTCTTTTTTAACCAAAAATAAACCCCAAAAAAAATCACTTTGAAATATTTTTAAAGCAAGACTTGATGAGTTTGAGAGCAAGGAAGGGCCTTCCTTCCACACCGATTGGGCTTTGCCTGTTTCGACACAAGTATTTTTTCGAAACATTTCTGTAGAGTCCAAATTACAACCGAAAAACCTTTAATAGATAACCACAGCGGACCCCCGCTCTTCAATTTCTAATTAGTGCACCTGCAATCACGTGACGAAAAAAGCCAAATTTATAGTAGAATCTGCATTATTAAAACTGTTCTTTTGTTGCAAATGTTTTTTTTTCTCATGGGTGGGCAACATACCACGTCGCCCAGCTGCTAACTACCAATAAATAACCTTATGAAAAACTGTTATTGAAAAATAAAATTGTTAATCAGTATGAGCAAAACGGTGAGCAAAACAAAATGATAAATGAACAATTCTAACCAAGGCTGCCACCGCGTGGTCGAGGGAGAAAGAGCGGGTGAGGTAGTGGACGACCCCGTTTCCACTGCCACAGGGGATGATGCCGACGTTGATGTCAATTGGGGGCAGTACGCCATCTTTGTCCAAGTCAAATTTACCCTGGAGCGATTTAAATTTAGGTATTTTTCCCCTTGACATAAAGTAAATAATGATCAATAAATGATAACCCCCGCAAAAATTTAGCACTAAACTTTTTATTCCAGCGTGCCCATTTTTATTCCAGCGCGCCCCTCTTTCATAGAATTAAAAACAACTGGGATAAATGAGAAAAGAATTATACTAAAATGATATAGAGATGAAAAATGCGTGCCTGATTGTGCATTTTCTCGTATATGGCAGCAATGGCGTCCCTGTAAGATCCATCTCCTCCCACGATGACTATGGCGTCGTACACACTGTAGTTTGTGCTGAAGATGATGCCTGCAACATAGAACACTGCAAACAGATCAAATTTATATGTTTTCATGCAGCGAGTTGAACACAAAATTAAACGTACTCGATAAACGAAAGATTTTTTTTTTCATTAACAATAACTTAAATCAGACCAAAATAACATGTTTTTCGACACAAAATAACAGATTTTTCTCCTCTTGAAGTTAGTGACACATTTAGCCCGCCGCCTGCTAATATGTGAGGGCAAAGTGTACAACAAAATTTATGAAGGGTAAAATTTTTGAGAGGCGAAATATGCGTAGACCATTTCGAACATCTAACAGCATAACATCATCAAAACTGTAACAGCCAGTGGACAATGTTATGCTGGCAGATGTTTAAATACATGGTACTTTAAAACTGTGAAAAAAATTGATGTACCTTTTGTTTATCGAGAGCGTTGAATTTTAACTTAGCTTACCTCAAATTCTAAGAAAATGAAAAAAAAAATAGTGGTATCTTCTTTTTCCTTACCATTAGAATTCAACTCATTGAAAATTTGGCGAAACAGGTTATCGTCTAGGTGAACTTCAAGCCAAAGCAATTATAACATGCTAAACATCAAACATGCTCGACGCTAGACCCCGATCGAATGAAAACGCTGAATAAGGATAAACAACCTTTGACACTGTTGGCGCCGTCTTTATCTGTGATTCTGACGTCAGCCACAACTCCCGCCAGTCGCAGAGTGTTCGCAATGGACTCCTCATAGCAGGACACTGCCTTGCCCCTACCACTGGCTGGGTTCAGAAATAAAAGCACCTTCTTCGGTCGCCACGACTACAAAAAAATATGAAACTGATTTTAACTCATATCGCATTACGCTCATCAATTTTTATTTTTGATGATATGCAATCATCAAAACGTTCACTGCTTATCATAAAATTTTTTTGTTTATGAGAATAAGGGTTTAGGACAAAACTAGCTTGCCTGTTTCTCGAGTTGAGACCGAATGAAGCAGTCGAATGTCTGTAACTCAGATAGTGACTGGAACTCAAGTAGAACGGATGACACTTCCACACCTGGATCTTCTAAAAAAAAAACAATTCAGTGCTACATAAAATTAACACTAATAGATGGACCCAAATTAAGATTGTTTCAGAAAAAGAAAATTCAAAAATTTACAAAAAAAAACCTAACAGAACGCAGCTTTTCAGATTTTGGTGACAAAAATAAGTTACAATTATTTTCAAAAAAAAACTAGTTTTGAGGCCAACCTTGAAATTTCTCACTCTGAACTTCAAGAAAATTTGTGTAACTCAGTAAACAAATCTTCCCATTTCAGCAAACAAACCTTCATACTTAAGTTTGTACCCGTTTAAGCATAAGCACGTAATGTACAGCACTCGGCTAAAAAAAAAACTGATTCCGAAACACTCATAACATACTACAACTTACCTTTCGAATCGACAATTTGGACAAACGAGATGTAGCCGATGAAGAGACCCTCGTACACTTCGTGGTATGACTCACTCTCGTCCATTTCATATTCTTCCACGTGGTCTTGTAGACTAGTGCATTCTTCATTCGGATCTGCGACTATTGTTCTCGGAGATTCTAGAACCTTAACATCAGACTTACAATAATATTATTGATAAATTGGCGGGATCATTTCTTTAACTATTCCCCCCTTTTGCAAAAGGGGGTACAGATTCGTTACTATGCTTAATTATTGAATTATTTCATTATCGGGGGTGGCAACTCGGGCTCTTTTCCAGTTCCCCCCTTTCAAATTCAAATTTGAAAAGCTTATTTAACGTTGTCATAATGCAATGAAATTTAGCGTGGTGAATATATCGACAATTCTGAACAGATTTGTTCTGCATACTTTACAGCGTAACATCACGCATTTAGCCGTAATAACACGTAAAACAAACATAAAACTCGGTATTTTGAAAGGTTGGGGGGGGGGGTGGGACTGGAAAAGAGCCGCAACTCGTTACTAGGTACCCTTGGGGAGGAGGGGGGGAGGTAGTTAAAGAGATCCAATTTCCGAAAACTAAAATTGCTCAGACCCTTATTTCTCACTCCGAAGCTCTGAGAACTGCTTGCTCAATTTGAAGAAACGGAAATACTTAAAGACCAATTCTTAAGTGTATTTCAGTGTTAGCTATACTTGGTCAGCAAAATGTGACAGCCTTTATTGTCCATCTTGAATTTGTAAAAATTTCTTCAATTTTTGTACATTCCTGTTTTTCTTTGATTGAAAATATCGCCATGAAACTGGTTCAGCAAAACTATAGCTGTTGACTGGTTTTATAAATAACGCTCCAATATTTGTCGTAATTATGGTTTCCATTTCTAAATTAGGTCTCCATGCTCAATTCTAGTAGCCTTTTGTGAAATACTAGCCTGGGGATGTTAAACTGAAATTTGAAAATTTTATCCGAAGGTATTTAAACCTATGGAAATTTAGTTCTGGGGACGATACCCAGTCAGATTTTATACCCGAGAATTTAGTCCGCGAACGGTACAAAAGCTAATAAAATGCGTGTAAAACTCAAAAACGGTCAAAAAAAATCAAAAAACTTTAATCCAAGCCCTCAGATCCTGTTGTATACAATAGATACCTGTTCTTTTTCTGATCTGTCGATCAACTCTTTCGCTTCAGCAGCATTCGACTCATTCTTTCTATCCCTTCTGTTTGCAGTTAGTTTAGTCGGATTAGAGTTGTGGTGTTGGTGTTTGTGTGCTAATGAAGTGGTGCTGCTACTGTTGCTACTATTTGCAGTTGAGAGCAGAGAAGGGGAGTAGTTGTCGGACACTGAATGGGAGTCGAACTCAAACACATCTCCTGTATCTAGGAAACATACCTTAATTATTAGCAGTGCATAACATGTAACTTAATTAATAGTAGTGCTTTTGATATACAGTGCATGAATACAAGACACCGCAAAAAAATCAATTAAATCAATCCGCCTGATTTGCGTTTTGAGAAAGAAGGGCAATACAATAGATTAAAACGTAAAATTTCCGCTAACTTCAGATCGGAAGTTTTTCAGGGATAATCCCAATATTCCAAATGAATTAAATTCCGGAATATTTGTTTTTGGTGCCTCAAAAAAATGTGAACATGAAACAGAAATCATTTTTCATACTTCATTGGTTTTAAGAAGTTCAACGATTAGAAAAAACCTATTTGAATCCATTGATGCCCATATTAATAAGTATTAAGAGAAGGCTCTAACCGTAAGTGGGTATTTCGAAGTAGACGATGTTCTCGTAGGGTACAAAGAGCGACTCCTCTGTCAGAAATAAGCCCTCGCTTTCATCATTACACTCGATGCAACTAGCCTCACCATCCACTGAACAAAACAAACCACAAGACTACATACAGTCGAACGTCAATTGAACACTGCGTATTTCGATAGCTTTTTATGCCTACCATCTACTTTCAGTATTTCATTACTTCTGCATTCTGCCTCAGTAAGTTCCGAAAGAGTTCAGGTTATACGTATTGTCACATACCAAAAAATTCTTAATTAATGTCACTGGTCAAACAATTAGTGTCACTGTCCTGGTCAGAAGCACACAATTATTGTGAAGGCGAAGGCATTAAGAAAAGACTAGTTATTAATTAAAAACGCAGCAATTCAAATAACTAAAATAGCAAATTGGATACTCCAAAAAATTTGCTAGCTCACTGAGTTATGTCACCAGAACAAACCCCCCTCAATTTGGTCCAGTTCGCATCACTGTCATAAAAACAGTCGAGAAACACAAACACCAGCATTAAAAAAGGCCGTAACTATCTTTATCGAGCTAACAAAACGCCTATATAACCTGCATAGACGCACATTTTTATTATTTAAAAGAAAATCAATTCTAGCCCATCAATTAGATACATACTGAAAAAAAAACAATGTCCTGCCGGCACTCAATCCCCATACTAAAGGTGCAAAGGCAACCGCGTCACCTCCATACCGAGTGAGAAGACGCCTGGAAATCGTTAAAATTGTAAAACAAAGCAAGATCAATTTCTTACTAATTTGAAAAAAAAATTGTTTACGGCGGAACAAAGTCTTACTCCTAATTACAAGTCACTTGCTGTCGCAAGTGCATGAAAATCTGAAACCAAAATATACAGAGCAATCAGCCCCAAACCAAAACTCAAATATACAAAAAAAATCTGATATATTGGTAAAACAAAAAAAAATCATTCCAAATTTCAGCACAAAATCATACCAAAAGAAACCGCTACTTAACAGGGCCACACCGTTCAATATTTCCGTACTTTTTCGATAAAAGCAAGGCCTCTAAAATAACGGCGATTGGAAATAAGAACATATAGGCCTCTAATTATTAAAACGTTTGCTTTCTGCTTGATTCAAACCTGCGACCTCGTGACTTGGACTCTCGCATCCTTCCCTCTCAGCCAGGGACGCTTGAATAACGACAAATACAAGTCACCAAAAAAGCGTATAACAGATTTTGTGCTACAGCAGATCGTGATTATAGTCATACTAATTCAGTACGCTCACAAGCTCGCTCGTGTAAAGAAAAATTTCGCAACACAGAGCCGAAGTGGAGCTTCGCACCACTTGCGCTACAACACAAACATAAAAAACATAAGACGCCAAAAAAAATGGAAATTAAAATTAGGTCTACCAAAATTCAAATTTTTGTATGTCTCGAAAAAATTTCATTCTAGGCAAACAAGCCAGACATTTGAAAGTTAAACTAGATTTTATAACAAGTCTTCGATGTTTGAAGTCCCTCCTGAAAAAATAAAGAACAAAACTTGCAAATACAAGAAAAATTGCTTGCAGCGCAAGAAGAACCCTTGATGTAACAACTAAGCCAACAATCTTTAAAAGAACTTAACAAAGTCCCTCCTGAGGCTACAATGAACAACACTTGCACTTGCAACTATAATGAAATTTGTTCACAGCACAAGAAATCAAAGGAACACAGTTTAAGAAGCGGAACCAAAGCCGACAATCTTTAAGCAAAATTAGAAGTCGAAAACAAAAATTTTGGAAAAAAGTCTCGTTTCCCTGAAATTACAATCAACAACACTTGCACTTGAAACAATAATGAAAGTTGCTAACAGCGCATGCAACATCCCTAATGTGCCAACTAAGCTGACATAACTTGAGCAAAAAACGAAAGTCCATCAAATCAATGCTTGCCTGATACAAGTTTTTCAATTGCATCCATGCTGAAAAAAAATCCCACCGGGACTCGAACCCGACCTCAGGATGCAAAGGCGACAGCCTTACCTCTAGGCCAAGTGGTGCGGAACCTGGAAGTTGTTAAGGTACAGTAAAGCAAATATAAAAATCAAGTGAGATTTGTAAAAGTTGTTGACAGGAAAAAAAGTCTGGTTCTTGATTATAAGACACCTGCTCTCAAAAAACAAAATTAATAAATTGAAAATTTGTAAAACCATACAAAATTTCAAAAAATTAACTTTATCATGTGCAAATTGATCAAATTTTAAAACTTTTTGAGAGTTAAATAGCAATGTTACTTCATTCATACAGAATACACTTCAACAAAAACAATTGCAACTCGGCTTAAAGCTGAAACTAAAAATAAACAAAATAAATACTAATAGAATTTTTCCAGTCGAAACTGGCAGTGAAGAGAACTTTCAATACCAGACAAACTAACGTGAGAGTTAGAAACAAAACAAGAAAAAATTACACAGCGGCGAATATGCGCTTCGTAAACACAAGTGAGAAAACGACAAAAGAGCAGCTCTACAAAGTGAAATAAGAAAAAGACAGGTAAACATAACCCTTGAAAAAAAACTGATGTGGCGGATTCGATCTTACGACCAGGAGTTTAAGAGTTCACTGTCCTCGCATCTGCGCCACAGGTAATTGAAAATTTACTACCACTAGCAGCTACATATGCTAATAAATTGCCAATGCCATGCAGCAAAAATGGCACCAAGTACAAATAGACAGAATTTTGCATGTAATAAAGTGAAAGCATGAAAACAAATTATGTATAAATTATGCATTTCAAAAAAACTTCGAGATAAATTGAGTTGGAAAATTGCGGAAATAGAGTTTTCATGATTGTACTGTTATTTGAAACAAATATCCTTTTTCGGTTCATGCGATGAACTAAAAATGATCAACTGTGTCATTTTATAATTAATCGAATGTGAAAGCACATGCAATCAAACTGCCAAAGCAGCCAGATTCAAAATTGCAACCAACAGTAGCACTAACATTTGCGATTTAGGCAGGAAAAAATATTAGTCGTACTATTACACTACGCTCGCTAAAGCTCATGAGTGACAATAGAGATTGAATTTATCGTTGAAAAATCAGAAAAAAAACCATGCTGTCAAAATTTGAATCGAAGCCCAATAAGCAGCAAAAGCTAAAAGCAAGCAAAGCGAAAATTTGTCCAGCCAGGACGCGAACCCCAGACAATTGGATATTCAAGCAGGCGTTTCACCCTTACACTACGTGTGCAGCTGTACGAAAAACGAGATTTGGATGGAAAATTGTTTAATGAAAAAGTCTAGTGACTAGATTACAATTACAACAAATTATAGTTTATAAATCTTGCATATGGGAAGGAGGGTGTTTGCTGGATTCTATCGCAGGTCAATTAAGGTGAAAGATCCAAATTTTCTTTACCTAGGACGTGAAACTCGAACTTCTGCTGCAGCTGCTCAATTGAATCACTGTTCTCAAACAAGGTCGTAAAATTGTCTTCATCTTTAGGCACATCTTGCAATTTAGCTGGATCCTCCATAATTGGTTAGTCTGTTTCTTTTAGTTGTAGTTGTTTGAAGCCCACGTCGAGTCAAAACTAAATGATGACTCAATAAATGTGAAATTTACATAATATAGTTCGCCATAGTTTCTGAAATACCGTAATACAAAATAAAACAATTAGTTAGATAAGCACAAATTATTCTGATGACAGAAAAAACGAAGAGTGACTTAATAACAATTAGTCCGCTCTCGTATATTGCAAGAACCACAACCTCCGCCTCTAATGCAAAAGGAGATAAATTCATTTTCAAAGTATAAAATATATGCCTTTAAAACTCTTTGAATTTCAAAAACACAATGATAGACACTTTTTGGATAAACTTGACTCAATTTGAGAAAACTGTATCAATTGGTAAAGTTTTTTTTTCAGCTGGGAAACCTGAAAATTAAAATCCGCTTTTGAAATTACAAGTCGATCACGTTTTTGCGATTTTTATTTTTTTTGCTTTTCGATAGTGGAGTTTGCCTTCCTTTTAACAAGGTAATGAACTCAACTTAAAATAGGCCAAAATCAAACCGCGAAATATCAAATTTGAGCGTGAAAAAAATTAAAAACTGAGCCTGAAAAAAAAGCTTTCATCGACTCAAAAACGAATTTTTGATAAATGAAACATTAATTCTCATTTTTTAAACGTAATCCCGCTTATCGCTCGAGAAATTTTCCACAGGAAAATTATATACCTATAACATTATATACATGATAAATTAATCAGTAGAAAAGTAATTCAGCCAAATTATATGTTATCTTTTAGCTGTAATAATTTATCGAAACTATGCAATCAATGGGGGATCTCTTTAACTCTTTCCACCCACTCTAAGGTAACTAGTAACGAATTGCAAGCCCTATAAAATAATTCAATAGTTAGGCATATGTAAATTTTGTACCTAGAACAAATTTCCCTCCTTTTGCAGAGAGAGAGAGAGAGGAGGGGGTTAGTTAAAGAGATCCTCATATTTATAACTCACCTTTTCATTCCAAATAGTATATCATACAAATAGCAGATAACGAACTTGATTGCTTGCAGCAAAAGCACACCATTTACAAAACATTTCAATAAGAATATAAGTTCAGGTTATCAATTGAAGCTAGAAAAAGGATTGGCCAATTAATCGATTTTCTGTTCACAATTCCATTTAAAACTATATTTGCTAAACTTGAAATTTGCAATGCATAGTACACCAATTTCGCAGGAAATTGGTGTACTATGTGTTCAAACTACAGCTAAGTGTTCAAACTACATCTATCGGGTTCCTGAACTTTTTCAAAATGAGAACGACGTCAAAAAATTACACAACGAAAAACCTTCTCAAATTTCTAAAACAAAAGGACAAAAATTGTCATTTAAATTAACTGGCCTTTTCATGCATTCAGAATATAAAAATTATTATAATAGCAAGAACAAACATCGATTGATTGGATGTAATGTTTTAGAATTTCAGCGCCAGTTATGATTTCAACTTTTCGTTGATAGGATGCGTTGAATGTAAAGAATCACAGCCATACTGCAATTTTAAAAAACTTCCTGTCAAGATACAAACCGGACGACAATTAATTAAACCTTAAATCATGCCTTGACTTTGTTCATAATTTTCCCGAAGCAATTTGGCTGCGATACTTACATTCATTATGAAAACAGATGCGAAAACGTCCCGATCCACTAAATTTAAAGGGGATTTTTAAAACTGAAAAAGTTACTTGACTAACTTTTGCATATTTCTAATCGATCTTCTGCTATTTTGAGCGTTTTGATTGGTCAAAAAATTCAAATTAATTGATTGTTCTATTTAAAAAAAAAATTGTTTATCGGAAGCTGTTTCAACTATCTGTTTTCAAATTGTTGCTTGGTTTAGCTATGGATTGCGTGTAGCATTTTGGGCAGCTGATGTCGCAGCCGTTCTGGCCGCATTTGAGGCGGCACTTTGCACATGCTTGTTGGACATGACTCCGGTAGAAAATTCAGCTTGTGCCTTCTCGAAACTCGCGTCCGATCTTCGGTATAAGGCGTGTATCTGAAACAAGTACAATTGTCAGACCCGAGAAGAACAATCGCGTCATGCTGCACTGAAATTAATTGAGGTGTTTAGAAAGGTAAAAAGCAATGCAGCTTCCCTTCGTGATAAGTGATAGCTCGAACAAAGTGAATAATTATACTTCAAGTATTCCGTATAGAATGACTAGCTCAAATCATACTCTACTCGCTTTTACATTTCCTTAAAACATCTGAAGAAAAAACTTTTGAGGAACTTTTTATTACACATCGAGGGAATACAAACATTATCTAGTCCTTATGTTCTCCAAAGTTCCGAGGTTCGACTCCATGTGGTGGACAATTTACAAAAAAGCGAAAAAGAGCTTCGCATCACTTGCGATACAATAAATTGAAAAAGAACCTTTAAAAATTTTTTTGTAGAAAATTTATTTTTAAAATTGCAATACGGGGGGGGGGGGGGGGGGTCCTGTAACAAAATTATCTGCTAGAAGCTTTACAAAGAGCTTTCAAAATGCTAAAAACAAACCGAAACTTTCTGCGGTACCTAAACCGACAAAAATTAGCAGACAAAGAAGTCTAGAATATTCGAAAAGATTCAGTTTCGATCAACCATGGGTGTTACCACTGCACTAAATGCACAGAACACTCCTTGAAGTTATAAAGAAAACAATTTTCAAAAATTTTTAATGAACAGCATGAAAAGAAAAAAAATAGGCAAAACTTCTTGGAACTCAATTACTAGCCCAAAACCGGAATACACTGAAACTCCTTTTAATTCGAGTAAAAATGCTCAAAAATTAGGCAAATTTGGTTCTGCGGTAAGATTTTTTGTCGCCACAAGCTCTTCGCCACATGTACGAATTAACATTTGACTTTTAATTTCATAAGAAACAAAGGTAAAACGATTCAAGTGATTCTGTTTAACTAGTTCTTAACCCGAAAAATCTATATTCCGGTTTGATAACGCTTGCTAATCGCAAGCGTAAACAACACCGGCAAGATTGTAATCCAAATGCCCATTGCAGCTCGCACCACAAATTGAGGGCCTTCAAGGTTACATTTTACTTAATTTCATCTGACAATAGCGTACATTACAGGAATCGGCGAGCATTTCCTAATTTTAGTGATTGCAACAATGATGCAATTCACTAAATTGTTAAGCAGAAAAAAAACACAGCCAAAAGACAGTTGAAAAAGAGTCAATGAACGCAGGTAAACAAAAAAAATATTGGAAATGAAAAAAAAAATTTTGAACTCTCGAACTTCGAAGAAGAAATAGATAGCCTTAGAGCTCTTTGAATTTCTAGAAAAACTTATGATTGACACTTTTTTGATAAAATTAACACAATTTGAGAAAACAAGATCAATAGATAAACTTTTTATTTCGCTGTGAAATCTGAAAAATAAATCCTGTTTTCGATATTAGAAGTCGATCACGTTTTTCAAGATCTTTACTATTTTGCTGTTCGATAAAAGAGTTTCCTTTCATTTTAACAAAGGAAAGGAACTAACTTAAAAAATCAAAAGTCAAACCGCGAAAAAAATAAATTTGAGCCTGAATGATTGAGCTTTTGAGCTAATTTTCAAACCATCTTATTTTAACGAAAAATGATCACAGGCGAAATATCTTTGAAATTAAGCTCACGCCATGATTATGTTTCAGATGAAATTAGAACATTTTGTTAGAAACATCTTGTCAAATTAATAACTACAGCCTGTATTAACAACTTCATCAGAGATAATACTGTAACGCTGTTTCAAATACATTGGCAGCAAAAGAAGAAACTGAACTGTGCCACTACGATAACGAAAAATGAACTCGTAGTATAACACATGCATTTGCTTGTTCGAACAGGCAACTTTTAGTCGCAAGCATTTTGTTTTTCTTAGCTCAAACTTAAAAGAGGCGTAGCTGCACTTCACAAACACTTCCGAGAACACGGCAAAAAAGAAGCCTTATAAAACAAAAAGAGAAAAAAGCCTCGAATTAGTAAACCTACGACCTAGAGATTTAGAGACTCGAATAAAGCAACTACATATGCTAATAAATTACCAATGCTATGCAGAAAAAGTGGCAACAAATACAAATAGACACAATTTGGCATGTAATAAATTGTAATACAACAAACTAAAGGCAACCACGCTAACTTTGTACGTAATAAATTCGAAAGCATAAAGCCAAATTATGTATAAATTAAGCATTTCAAAAAGATTGAACAAAGAACTTCATCAACTGTGTTAACTATAACTAATCGAATGTCAAAGCAAATGCAATCAAAAAGCTGTAAAAGCGCCCCAAATTCGGCAACAATAATTGCTGCCCTTAGGTTAGAAAAAAGAGTAGTCGTACCATAACACTACCTCACTAAAGTTCGAAAGAAAAAAGATAGTTCACATGTGATCATTTTTCTTTAAGTTATTGGGGTTTGAAAATTAACGCGCGGCGGATTAATGCGTTCCAAATTGAATTGAGGCAATTCATTGGGTCTAATATTAGGATACAGGATGCTAATTACATCCCTTTGTAACATCAGCATTACGGGGGATGAATTGAAAAAAAAAATGGAAAATAGCCTTTACTTTTTCCGCTAATTTCGCCAATTTTTAAGCAAATTTTCAAATTTACCTCAAACTCTAGTCGGAACATTCAAGGTTTCACCCTGATATATGAGCAGTCTTGTTAGATAAACTACTATTTTTGTTCTGAACACTGGAAGAATTTTGGATTCGCATGTGTTATTGCCATGCATATTCAGATACCAGAAAAAATGCTAGATCAGTCCGAGTTATACATTATACTAGGGAAGTTTCAGTCATGTTTCGAAAAAAAAAACCTAACAAGTATTCCTTGTGTACAAAAGTGATTTGAAATTTTCACCAGCAAGACGAATTTCAAGCAAAGTGTAAACTGTACATCTATAAATATCATATAGATACATCATACATCGGTACAGAAATATACCAATGAATCGCAACAAAAACTTTTACAAAAGCTTGATAGTTGAATTCGATTGTTTAACCATTTGAAAAGAAAGAAAGATAGAACGAAATTAAGATTTTATCATCAATAACGTGCAAGCATAGCCAACAGACAGTTGGAAAAAGTCTATGGACGCAAGTAAGCAAACAATACTGACTTGTTTTTGAAAATATCACATCTTTCAAGTTTCAAAGAAAAAATGGCCTTAAAAAATTTAGGATCTTCTATTTTTTTGATGAAATTACATTATGTTTTTGTAACATTTACAATTTTAACCGTTCGATAGTTGAAATTGCCTTCCTTTCAACAAAGACCATCAACTGAACTTCAAAAAACATCAAGTCAAACCTAGAAAAATTGAGCCTGAACAAATTTTAAATTTCCTGAAAAAAATCATCACGACCTATTTAAGAGTCTTCACTACGTTCATCGACGCTAAAAAATTTGAATGACCGGACATTTTTCGCCATTTGTTGTTTTTGCTACGAGGATAGCACCCACAATAATGATACGATCAATTGTTTGTTATATTTCTCACCCTTTGTAGCATGATGATCATGGCACCACAGAGAGCAGTGAGTGCGACTGCCACAATTGCACTGCAGATGGCCCCAAAGTAGTGATCATCTGCTATCTGCCCAAACATCACTAGCCAACCACACACTCCGTACCCTAGAACCACGAACACGCTCCTGTTACATTTAGCCCAACTTCAAATGTTTCCTATCATGCAACCGCCGAAACAACCAAAAAAAGCTTCCCACTTGGATAAACTTTGAACTCATTTTTGTCAACTAAGTTAAAACAATTTCCACGTTCCTGGTAATCTTTCGACAGCTAGGCAGGTTGCCATGACACTTGACCTCACCTGGTGTTCCGATGGCAAACAGGACAACGAGACAGATCTCCAAGAAGAAGGAGAAAAAGAAAAAGAAGAAGCTGAAAGAAGAGTCCTTCTTGAATGCATTGTACACTGCTCGCATCCAACACGCATAGCCACAGGGTGCACTCAGCACCAAGATCAGAGCTCCAAACACTATCTGTGAAGTTGCATTGTCACCTAAAACAAAACAAAAATACATATAACTTTTACACTTGATTTTATATTAGATATGATTCGAATATAATGACTAGATAACACAGAGATAGCACTTTGCAACTCGCTCGAAAAAGCGGCTAAAAGCAGTTCTATATGCAAGTAAAGGCAAAGAGAATTCTAGAAACGCAAAAATTTCCGGCTACTGAATAGGAACCGCTCATATCCAGGTTGTCATTCACTCGCCCTACCAACTGCTTCATCCAATTAACCGTACCATAAATAAATGTAGTAATAAGGAAACCTTATTACATGGATATATTTTATGGTTTTCATATGGCGGAGCTCCGTATGAAAATTTTTCTGATAGACAATTTCTCATAAAACTAGCCTAATTAGAAAAAACTGGATCAATGTTTTTTTTTATGAGTTCAATGTTTTTTATTTGGTTGGGAAAGATTAAAAAAATCCACTTACGAGCCTGAGAGTCAATCACAGGTTTTCACGCCATTTCCCTTTTCCTAAATATTTAGAAGCGTAAATTGCCTTCCTTTTAGCAACTGAAAATAAATTGAACTAAAAAAAAATGAAAAGTCAAAACGCAAAAAAAATCAAGTTTGGCGCGATCAAAATTAAAGACTTTTTCTTGAACAAAAACCAACAAAACTCTTCACGACCTACAAAAATAATTTCACCACGTTCATTGACACTTAAAAATTTCATTAAACTCTGTTGCTATTTAATAACATCAAAACTGACTGCCGAAACATGCAGCTTATACTCAGACATTTCAAAAATCTGGAAATTTCTGAAGTTGGATTTTAATTATCATACTATTTTCTGAAACAAACAGCTTTTTCCGGTTGAGTTGATGAATTCAGAAAGCATGGTTACCTTGTTACTAATCAAACGTCACAGCACATGTTTTATACTGCTTATCTAGCATACTGATTCAAAAATGCCACCATAGGTAGCATTTTTATTTGCGACTAAGGTGGGACAAAAAATTCGCATCGTACTATCACGCTGCACTAGAAACTTTTGTGTTTTAAGACTCAAAGTTGTTACGACCAAAGAAGCACAAAAAGGATCGAAACCTTTTTTGCCTTTTAAATGACCAACTATAAGTTGAAAGGAAAACAATCAATGTACCTTGGAAAATTTGAAGCACCTTCGTCAATGTAACACCATCAGCATAAACTCTGAAGTAAGTTGGCTTTGTAGAAAGAGTAAAGAAAAAAAGAAAAATAGGCAAAACCCAAATAACAAGAAAGAAAAATAAGATAACAGATATTTCTCGTCGGTGACTCCGAAACAAGGAAGTGAAAAGGCAACTAAGCCAAAATAACATACGCCGAAACCACAAAAAATGATAAAACGGAATTGCACAAAAATTTGAAACAAAACCACCTCCATGTTTACACGGGTGAGCTACCATATTGTAAGACATAGGACTCCCTGAGCCTTCAAGCAAAACCCATGATTTAGAATATCAGTTTGCAAAAAATAAGTAGACAGCAGATAGTCCGACAATTTAAGCTATCGGAGGAAAAACTGAAAACCCAGATGAAAAAAAAAACAAGTGCCAGCCTCGAGTCAAATAAAACCTTAGACTGCCAACGCACGAGTTTTACTACTAGACCAAATAAAACGACTGAAAACACTCACGTTTTGTAATTTAGCAAGGACAAATTCATATAGATTACAAAATTGTGAACTCTAACAGATTTTTTCAAGTCTACACAGAGACGAGCTTGAGTAGGCTTAACTAACAAAAAAAAGTAGCTCCATAAAGTGCAATAAAACAAGTAGAAATAAACATCGAATTAAAAAAAACTCGGTTACATCTCAGATTCGATCTGAGAGATAAGAGTCCAAAATCTTGATAGCATTAACTGGGAAATCATCATTAGAATTTCTAAACATGTTCTACTCACTTAACACAGTAGTGACCTTTTTTTACCAAACTCATTTATATACGAGTTGAGTGGGGGAAAAAAGAAGGTTCGTGCTAAAAAAAACTAGCTGCTCGCTAGCGTATGTAATGTTATAATTCACAACAAGTCATCGCGGAAAACGAATTTTGATCTTTGAAAATGAAAAATTTAAGGAAACTCGATTTAATGAAAAAAAGCGGGTTAAAAACTTGGGATGCTCAAAAAAACCTTGCAAATCACGAGTATTAACTCGTGATGATTTTTCTGTGGTGATAAAAATGGATCGTTTCATTCAGTGTTGCCTCATGAACGAGAAATGGAAAAGTTATTTTCTACACGTGTTTAACTTTTTCTAGAAATTCTGTTCAAAAAAAGGTAAAGCGTGACCTCTAAACGTGCATAGCACTTGAAAATCGTAAGGGAAATGTACGCGAAAACAAGCTGTGATATATAGCTTTTTTGAATGGTCCTAACTCTTCGCAATACCTCTGTGGCCAAATAAAATTTTTTCCAAAAACTTTTTCGCAAGTAAAGGAACGAACGCAAAACATGCAAGAACATACCCGCGCTCTTAAATAAAACATAACGAGCATTGTTTCCCAGGAGCGCGCAGCAAACATACCGAAAATAACAACGGTTGCAAAAGCGATTCAACGCTAAAAAGACTTCAGAGTTGAGCCAAAGACCGTGAAAACATCGCAATTCTCATGGAGCTTGAAACAACTCTAAGGGGGGAGGGGAGAAGTTCTTGCCTCGTGACTTGGTATCGGAAGATTGCTACCGACTTCATGGTTTCACCACTGAGGCAAACTTGAACATTCTCGAGCGGTACACATCTTGGCACGCTGATGGCTCATTTGAAAGTTGTCCATCATTATTCTATCAAGCATATACTGTACATGCTGTTATAAACAACTGCTCCCGCCCTATGGTTTACATTCTTTTACAACTAAAAATTGAACGGCTAAACCAACAAGCATTTCAGGTGTTAAGTAAACCTAACCCACTATTAGAGCCAAAAAATTGCAAAGGTTATCGAAAAAGCAGCCATTTCTGCTTCAAATCGTAACTCCTCACAGCGTCTGTAAAAGGGTGCTTTTATTCATTTCGCAAAAGCCAATTGGCAAAAAGTACAATTATTAGGAGTGGCTGTTGAATACAGAAAAGATGAAGATTTAAGAAAAAAGGGAAATCCTTTAGTGCTCTCGAAGGATGGCATAAAGCTTTTCAATTAGAAATGGGCATGCTCACCCCACTATCAAAATTCATTCAGCAAATAAGGAAAGAGCAAAGCTAAACCGAAAATGGCCTGATTCAGTTCAAGTTTGGAGAAAAGACCTATGATTGTCCTAAATGTGCACAATTGCAACAAAGGATATCAGAAACTCTGAAAAATATCAAAACAATGATCTAATTTTGCAGCTGGAAGCTCTTTCAATTCACTTTGATCAGTAAAACCTCTTTAAATCAAACAAAAATTTTGACGCCTCAAAGGCTCTGATTTTTAACCGCTTTTTTGTTTTACATTTAGATTGAATTTAATTTTCTTCCGAGTTTTATACAAGTTTTCTTAGGATTTTGCTAGTTGTCTTTTTTTGTGAGTTCTCTTCTGTTGCGAGTTGTCGCGGTACCATAGCAAAAATGCCACCAAATAAGCGAACACAATAATGCACACTTTTAATTGCAAGTTGGGTTGGAAAAAAAAGGTTTGTACTAATACACTAGACTCGCAAGCTCGCAATTGTAACAACCCTACAGATTTGCAAAGGTTCGGCAAAAAGTCAAAATTCCGATCATAGGTCAAATGTTCTCGCAAGTGAAATCATGAATTAATATTGTTTTCCTGCGTTTCAACGATATTATTATCATTAAACATTTTTGTCGTCAAAGTCATTTTGAGACAGTCATTTTTGTCGTCAAAGTCGGACCTCGGAAGTAAGCCACAACTGTTCTGTTCGTATCGGGCCAATAAGTCCATTTTATCAGGTGCAACACAACATCTCATTTAAACACAATTTTCTACTGGCTCTTTTGTCTCTCATATTTTTCTATGGAACCAAAACTTTCTGGTTGTTTCATTTTCGTATTAGTGTGATTTTCTTAATTGGTTTAGGCAGGGCCAATTTATCTCATAAAAAAACAAATGGTTTGAAAAGCGTTAAAAAACTGAAATTTTTTGAACATTTTTCAAATTTGGAATTTGAGGAAACACTTTAAAGCTCTTTGATTTTCAATAATTGTTTATGATCGACATTTTTTTGTTAAACAGATCCCATCTAGAGAAAACTGGATCAATAGGTAATTTTTCATTCCGCTGAGAATTCAGAAAATTAAAGGCATTTTGAAATATTTTCGTGACCTGTATACTTTGGCTGTTCAATATTGGAAACTCACAAAGGAAAATGAGCTTAGCAAGAAGAAATCAAAAAAAGAAAAAAAAGGAAAAAAAATCATCATGACCTATACAAGTGACAATCACTTCGCTCTCCTTCTTTTTAATTATTAGTTCAATTCTTATAATTAGTATTTCAATTCAAACAAACCCCCTGAAGCAGCATAGACGACACAGGCGAGTAAATTAACCAATAGAATCAACACCAGTGCCAAATAGATATAATACACCAGCTTCACAGTCTGTCTGAACTCCTGGGCTATGTCCACGTCGAAGTCCTGGTAGAAGCACGGCTGGAAGGGGAGGAAGGAGGGCAGAGGGGGGAAATTATTGGGCCTGATACCCGCAGCTGCTTCCCTCTGATTAATCTCACGTTCCTGTAATTCAGCAGTACGTTTTTTTCTAGTTCTCGGTCCTTCTCAATGCCAGGCCACCCGAGGGGAGGGGGATGTCATCCATTTCGCCAAAAACGGTTCCACCTTGAGGAGGCACAGGGTAACATCGTGTGCTACCAGGGGCAGTTTTAAGGGCTAGCGAAGACAGCGATTGCATGTCTTTTTTTAGAAATATCATTTTCATTCGCAAACCGCGTCCTAAAATTTATTTATTTTTTTTTGGAAAAAATTGAGCTCATTTATTGAATATTACTGTTTTTCCGTTCTAGATTGTAATTTTGTTTGTAATTCGCATCGTAATACTCGCGCTTAATTTCACCTTATTCCGCTTTTTTCGGTCATAGGCAACAACAAAATTACAGTTCCGTTGCAGTTATCTGCTAGTGAAAAGAATAAAGCCAATCAAACTCCTTCATTTTTTAAAAACCTTAAATTTGAAAATAAATAGGTATATAACCAAAAGACTGATGTAAGCTCAAAACAAACCATGAACAAAAACTTCAGAACTTGATTGAAAAACCAGCTCCATCTGCATGTTTCAATTTTAAACGTATCTTCTGAATAACAGACAACTTTTGGTACAGAACTTTAAGCACAAAAAGCACTTAAATGGCAGGAAAAACAACCCTAGATTGAAGTTAGTTGCCGCTTTCAGAGTGTGATCGGAACAATCATCTCGTCCTTGAGCATTTACCTTGCGTTCCAGCTCCGCTGCCTTCTTTTCCAACATGTCTTGTTGCCTTATCAACTCCTCGCTGGACAAGGGTCGACTGTTGGCCGAGTAGGGCGGGGGAGGGCCAACCACTGAGCCAGATCTGACAAAACAGCGACAAAAAACAAAGTCACCATAGAAAAGAGATAAACAAGCCAGCAACTTATGATTGGCATTTTTTGATAGAATTTACCCAATTTGAGAAAACTGGAGTACAAGGGGTAAAAAAATTATTTCGCAGAGAAACCTGAAAAATAACTTCGACTTTCAAAACTAGAACTTCTCGTGCCATTTCAGCTTTCATAATTGGATAGTGCATGTTGCCTACCTTCAAGTAAATGAACATGAAATGAACTCAGAAAGTGCATATATACCTGAGGACATTCATATGTGCACTTGTAATTATCAATGAACTTCTTTTGTTATCAGAGCATTTTAACGTTTTTCCTGAACAAAAAATCATCATGCACGACATAGAATCTGAACTACGTTCGACTTAAAAATTTCAAAGAGCCAAAAATTTTGAGCCAAAGTAATTTAAGAACTTGTAGTCTTTACCATGCTGTATACACGTCCATTTACGTTAGGTGTCATCTAAAAGTTTTACCACAGAGGCGAAGCTGCGTTTCGCAAACACCAGCAAGAACTCGACAAGAGTGCAAAAGCTGTATAGTGCAAAGAAAAAATAGAAATAAACCTCGAATTAGTAAAAGTTCGTCAACGTCTCGGATTCGATCTGCGACCTAGAGATCATGAGTCTCACGCGCAAAACGGGCACTCTTAATCCATCACAAACACTAGCCACAAATAAAGCAGATAACAGATGCTATGAAATTTTCAAGGCTAGATCGTGATTATAGCAAACTTGCCATCAAATAAGTGAAAACTTTCCACTTTCAATGAACAGTTTCATTTGCGAGTTAGATAAGAAAAAAAACCAAGAATGTTCTTACTAATACATCAGCTGGTCGTAGTGTAAATCGAAAAAAGACCTCTACGGGATTCAAAACCCGCACATCGAGTTAGTCTCATACTGTACCGACTTACTGTCTTCAAACTGTACAGACTTACTGTCTTCAAACTGTTGCGGATGCTTACTGACTAAAAATGCTACGCAGAAAAACTCCACCAGTTTCTTGAGCAAAATTTATGCGAGTAGCCGGGCGAAAATTGTTATCAATGTTTTATGGGTTGACTAAAAAAATTTCAGGGAAAATTTTCTGCGCTGCAGGCGAACTTGTGGAAAAACAGGCCGTTTAGGGTACTTTTTGGTAGATTTTGACCACAAAATTGCGTTCTTTTGTCTAATGCGCCTTTATAAAAATTTGAATGTCGTTAGGCCGAAAAAAGATGCCGCATAATAAACCAAGGAGGACCATTTGGGTGTTCGAATAACTGCGAAGGTCATCCGCCCTCTCCTACTTACGCCCCTGCGTATAATACAACGCTTACAAGCTTGCTTGAGTAAAAAAACATGTCAGAACAGAAGGATCCAAAAACAACATTTAATAGACAAAAACCTGAAAACTATTTGAGCAAAAAAGAGCTTAGGCATATTCGACAGTCACAGTAAAATTAGCAAATGACTAGAAAAACAAAAAAATAATGTGAAATTTATTTGCTGAAATTTTTTGATTCCCAAAATGGCGTTACAAAAAATCTAAAAACTAAATTTACTTGTTTACTTGAGTAAAAGTACAATAAGGCACAAATAAGCTATTATAATCGGCTTAAATTTAGCAAATAAATCGGCTCGCTCGCTTTATTCTCTCAAAATTAGACCAAAAATTTCAAACTACTCGACATTGAGAAAATTTTTTCATAATTTTAAATTTTGTTCAAATCACGATTGAAAGAGCTTTAATATGATATATTGTTCGATTCATTCCGATGATTATTTGTATACCTGATTTTGCGTGGAAAAAAAGAACAAACCAAAACAAACCCGAATGTAACTTTCCTCCACATTTTTCAAATGGTCGGAACAACAATTAAACCCAGCAATACGCGAGTATAATAAACTTCATAAATTGCATCTAGCATTGAAAAGTATATTCACAAGTTAGATACATTTAGCCTGCAACACAGTCCGATTATTCGAAACTTCGGCGGTGAAATATGGTGATTATGATAAAAACGGGGCCTAGGAAATTAGACGACAAGCAAATTAGACGACCGTAAAGAAACGGAATTTACGGACAACCAGTATTTACTCAGCCAAAAGTTAATTTAAGTATGTAAACAAAATTCAAGCAATTTGCGCGCAAGTGATTGTCTAAACTGGACAACCAGTATTTACTCACCAAAAAGATAATTTAAGCCTGGGGGTTGATAAATTAGACGATAAGCAAATTAGACGGAGGTACTTAAAAGGAAATTAGACGGTTTTGCAAAACTGCAATTGTGAGAAAATAGACAAAAGTGAGAGAAATTAACTTTGTTTGCACACAAATTGCGTTAGAAAAATAAAATTGTTTGTAGACAACAGTTCAGTTTCGGTGGCCAAAAACTTTACAAGTCAATCATGCATATTTTATTCAATTCGAAACTCTCCTGTAATATTCAGATTTGACATTTTATGTTGATTCCAACTAATTGTTTTAATAGGTATTGACATTTTATGTCGTTTTTGTATTTGTGAAACTTAACTCTTTTTGTTGGCCCTTTCCCTTTCGTCTAAAATGCCAGATAAGTAAAAAATAAATTCCGTCTAAATTCGTTTTTGTAGCATCCGTCTAATTAGCTTATCGTCTAACTTCCTAGGCCCCTTTAAGCCTGTAATTAAGTTTCACGCAATTTGCACGCAAGTTATTGTCTAAATTTCGTTATTTTGTGATCGTCTAATTTGCTTGTCGTCTAAATTCATAAACCCCGATAAAAAACACAACAGAATATACGGTTACGCAGCGGTATTTAGACAACCGCGTATTCGTAATAGTCATCAGTAAGCAAACAAATCTATATTAACCAATCAGAATCGAGACATGGAAGATTGCTTTCTGATTGGTTACTATAGTATTTGTCTGCTTACTGACAAGTATTAATACACGGTTGTCTAAACTCCGACCGCACTCTGTACTATACGTCATTCGCTCCTCTGCGCTTACATTCAACATGAGTAATATAATGCTAGTGAATCGGCGTTTGTTGTAATTTTGATTTTCTGCTATTCGAATGCCAGGCTGTTTGGACACACACATTATTGAGTTTTTCTCGCTTACTATAAAATTTGTCATTATTGGTTGAGAATCAGGCAAACGTATCTCAAATATTTATGCCATTTTACGGCCCTCATTTTAAAGCAACGCTGATCGGGTCATGTGAATCATATCTCCCCTGTATCAATTTAGGCGGGAGATCACTGCTGGTTAAGAAGAAATGCCTTTTCATGTTTTTATTTAGTGTTAGGGTATCTTTCCAGTCTTTATTTTCAAAGGGAACCGCCCTCACTTGATAAGTTAGTTTACTTCAAATTATCTTGATTTAAAAACTATGTGAAACTTACTGTGATGATGATGTTGTGTTAGTCGAAGGTTTAGCAGACGGCATCACATACTGAGCGGAGGGCTCGTTGTTTCCGACCACATATGCAGAGTAGCTCGATTGCGTCGGAACATTTGCTGTAGTAGTGCTTGTCGACCCAGGTCCACGACTCGTCTGGTGTTCCAAAATTGCGGGGTCCGTAAACGGGTTATAATCCTCCATTGTTAGATCAAATTTTCTTTTGCACTTAAGTCAGAGTTATGCGATTGTTTATACAGATGATTCAATCATTAAGAATAAATACGAATCATACTCTTTGGGTTTTCATTTCATAAAATTGAGATAAAATATTGACATATTAATCCTGAAAAAAAAACAGCAGTTTGCACAGAGGCGAAGCGGCTTTTCTCGAACTAAATCAAAACAGCAAACATGAGCTTTAAGATACAAGAAATTAAAGCATTAACACAGAGGCGAAGCTGCGCTTCTCAAACACTAGCGAGAACACGACCAAAAAGCAGCTCTATCAAGTGAAATACGAAAAAGTAGAAATGAGCCTCGAATTAGCTAAGTGTCTGATTCGAATCTGCTATCTAGCAAATTTGAGTCTCACGCACTTACCACGGATGCTTGAAATCCCAAAAAACTAGCCACCAATAACGCAACTACATATGCTAATAAATTGCCAATTCGATGTAGCAAAAGTAGCACCAGTTACAAAAAGACAAAATTTGCCTACCGATTCAAAAAGGCACCAAAAGAAGCACTTTTATTTGCGACTTAGGCTGGAAAAAAAAGAAAGTTCAGACAAATATAATTTGCTTCGCAGGTATAAATAAACAAGAGTAGCCGGCTGCTGTGCAATTACCAGACATTTTCAACCACGGTTAATTAAAAAAATACTAAATTCAAAAAATCCTTTTACCAAAATTAGGACGTTTGTTGAGCACTACATGAATCTTCAATAGCTAGTTTTCCTTCGGTAAAACTGAGTTTTTCATCATTTAAATAAACGTTTTTCACATAGCATACATTACCAGTCTATCGAAATCTTTGCAGTCGTTCAAATAGGAATCACGACTGAGAGGGCATTAATATGATTTATGATTTCTTCTGATGAATATTTGTGGTGACAATCTGATCCATTCTGACAGTCAAAGACAAATTTCTTCCCCGCGTTCGAAGGTCGAAACAAAAAAAAACCGAAGACAAGCTTTGGAACAATTGTAATGCATATTTTCCGACCATCTTTTGTGATACAAACGCCAACACACGCATAGCATTGCCAACCAGCAGATAGAAGGCACGTAAGCCACTAAGTCCAAAATATTATTTTAAAAAACGGTAGAAAAAAAACGAAATGTACAAATGTATGTCTCAAATGATGTTCAATTTGAGAAACAAGCCAAAAATTGAAACGACAGCGTTAAACTAACGCTGAGACGAAAATTAGCAAGCATTAACTAGGCAAATAAAAATTGTCTCGTTGCCTTATCAACTCCTCGCTGGACAAGGGTCGACTGTTGGCCGAGTAGGGCGGGGGAGGGCCAACCACTGAGCCAGATCTGACAAAACAGCGACAAAAAACAAAGTCACCATAGAAAAGAGATAAACAAGCCAGCAACTTGAGCTTTAAGATACAAGAAATTAAAGCATTAACACAGAGGCGAAGCTGCGCTTCTCAAACACTAGCGAGAACACGACCAAAAAGCAGCTCTATCAAGTGAAATACGAAAAAGTAGAAATGAGCCTCGAATTAGCTAAGTGTCTGATTCGAATCTGCTATCTAGCAAATTTGAGTCTCACGCACTTACCACGGATGCTTGAAATCCCAAAAAACTAGCCACCAATAACGCAACTACATATGCTAATAAATTGCCAATTCGATGTAGCAAAAGTAGCACCAGTTACAAAAAGACAAAATTTGCCTACCGATTCAAAAAGGCACCAAAAGAAGCACTTTTATTTGCGACTTAGGCTGGAAAAAAAAGAAAGTTCAGACAAATATAATTTGCTTCGCAGGTATAAATAAACAAGAGTAGCCGGCTGCTGTGCAATTACCAGACATTTTCAACCACGGTTAATTAAAAAAATACTAAATTCAAAAAATCCTTTTACCAAAATTAGGACGTTTGTTGAGCACTACATGAATCTTCAATAGCTAGTTTTCCTTCGGTAAAACTGAGTTTTTCATCATTTAAATAAACGTTTTTCACATAGCAAACATTACCAGTCTATCGAAATCTTTGCAGTCGTTCAAATAGGAATCACGACTGAGAGGGCATTAATATGATTTATGATTTCTTCTGATGAATATTTGTGGTGACAATCTGATCCATTCTGACAGTCAAAGACAAATTTCTTCCCCGCGTTCGAAGGTCGAAACAAAAAAAAACCGAAGACAAGCTTTGGAACAATTGTAATGCATATTTTCCGACCATCTTTTGTGATACAAACGCCAACACACGCATAGCATTGCCAACCAGCAGATAGAAGGCACGTAAGCCACTAAGTCCAAAATATTATTTTAAAAAACGGTAGAAAAAAAACGAAATGTACAAATGTATGTCTCAAATGATGTTCAATTTGAGAAACAAGCCAAAAATTGAAACGACAGCGTTAAACTAACGCTGAGACGAAAATTAGCAAGCATTAACTAGGCAAATAAAAATTGTCTCGTTGCCTTATCAACTCCTCGCTGGACAAGGGTCGACTGTTGGCCGAGTAGGGCGGGGGAGGGCCAACCACTGAGCCAGATCTGACAAAACAGCGACAAAAAACAAAGTCACCATAGAAAAGAGATAAACAAGCCAGCAACTTGAGCTTTAAGATACAAGAAATTAAAGCATTAACACAGAGGCGAAGCTGCGCTTCTCAAACACTAGCGAGAACACGACCAAAAAGCAGCTCTATCAAGTGAAATACGAAAAAGTAGAAATGAGCCTCGAATTAGCTAAGTGTCTGATTCGAATCTGCTATCTAGCAAATTTGAGTCTCACGCACTTACCACGGATGCTTGAAATCCCAAAAAACTAGCCACCAATAACGCAACTACATATGCTAATAAATTGCCAATTCGATGTAGCAAAAGTAGCACCAGTTACAAAAAGACAAAATTTGCCTACCGATTCAAAAAGGCACCAAAAGAAGCACTTTTATTTGCGACTTAGGCTGGAAAAAAAAGAAAGTTCAGACAAATATAATTTGCTTCGCAGGTATAAATAAACAAGAGTAGCCGGCTGCTGTGCAATTACCAGACATTTTCAACCACGGTTAATTAAAAAAATACTAAATTCAAAAAATCCTTTTACCAAAATTAGGACGTTTGTTGAGCACTACATGAATCTTCAATAGCTAGTTTTCCTTCGGTAAAACTGAGTTTTTCATCATTTAAATAAACGTTTTTCACATAGCAAACATTACCAGTCTATCGAAATCTTTGCAGTCGTTCAAATAGGAATCACGACTGAGAGGGCATTAATATGATTTATGATTTCTTCTGATGAATATTTGTGGTGACAATCTGATCCATTCTGACAGTCAAAGACAAATTTCTTCCCCGCGTTCGAAGGTCGAAACAAAAAAAAACCGAAGACAAGCTTTGGAACAATTGTAATGCATATTTTCCGACCATCTTTTGTGATACAAACGCCAACACACGCATAGCATTGCCAACCAGCAGATAGAAGGCACGTAAGCCACTAAGTCCAAAATATTATTTTAAAAAACGGTAGAAAAAAAACGAAATGTACAAATGTATGTCTCAAATGATGTTCAATTTGAGAAACAAGCCAAAAATTGAAACGACAGCGTTAAACTAACGCTGAGACGAAAATTAGCAAGCATTAACTAGGCAAATAAAAATTGAGTGGACGGCCGTATAGTCGAAAAAACTCTTTGAAAATGTGTACTATAAAAAGTTTCAAACCCGCTTTGCCACGGCCCCCTAAATACATAAGCGCATAAAATATCATTTCTTCCTTTAAACAGGCTCTATTACGAGGTAACTAAGACAATGTAACAGGCATTGAAAACATTAAAACTCAAAAACCTTCAAAGCAATAATGAAAAACGGAAATTATTCAAAATCTTAAGCACAATCATCTGCATCCTTACAAAGGTTGAAACCATCCAAAACTGTGAAAACTCTTAGCCTTCAAACAATGTTGGAAATCAATGTTTTCTAGTTAACAACATAAGTAGAAAAATGATAGTTTGACAGACAATTCAAGCTTTCGGGAAGTTCCATAGAAATGAAAACAAAAATTCTAGCCGGGATGCGAACCCCAAACCTTGTGCTCTCAAGGAACGCACGCAATCACTAGACCAAATAGTACGAAAATCGAAGTTACTGAGATTTCGTTAAAAAGCAAGGTCAATTTCTTAGATTTGTTAAGAAAAGTTGTTTGTATGAAAAAGGGCTAGCTCCCGATTACTAGTACAGCTGCTCTCGCAAGTGAAACAAATTCATTCAAAAACCCGAGTGTTAACTCATTCTTTTATATTACAAATCCAAAAAAAATTTCAAAACAATTGTTCAATGAAAATACATTTATTCTTTTCAGACTGCTCTGAGCAAACGACAGCTCAGAACTTAAGGAATAAATTTAGTTTAGGCGCCTTCAGAAAAATGCTACGGCTGACCGATCGAAAACCGATGTCGTAAAATAGTATTCCCACTCCAAACTTGCCCCTTTACACTACCCCTCGTGGATACTCCGTGTTCTCTCTCGGCTAGAAACCCAATAAGCATGCTTTATCAATAACGTTCTGATATTTTCTTAAACTTATAAGCTAATATTGCATCATAAAATTAATTGGTACTCACAAACCAATTTATGTTTCATAAATCAATTTATTTGAGATCAAATACAGCAATCGACATATTCAAAAGTAAAATTCAAAGAACAAATCTTCGATTAAATTTGATGATCGCCAGAAGACAAACAGAAATGATATTTAGAGCAAAATTGTCGTTCGACGCTGTGGAAGGGGGCATTCAAAAACAAACATCAATGCAAAACATTTTATAAAACAATTCTGATACCAGCAGCAAAATCAGGAAGTAATTCTTTTTCTGGTATCCATTTTTGGTCGCTCAAATCTTAGTTTTTTTTCAAAACTCGACATGACATCGGTTCAATTTGAAACTATTTTGAGTAACACTTGCCCGGAAAACATGATGAGTTATTCAGTGTAAATAAACCAGCGAAAGTATAAATCAACCAAAAATGCGCGCGGATATAAGGCAGCCGACAAGTTACATAATTGTTGCATAACAATTCAGGGGTGGATCTAGGATTTTCTCGAGGGGGGGGGGGGGGGGGGGGCGGATTTTCAAAAAAAATTCTGACGACCTTTTTTTTTAGGTCGACCAAATTGATTTTTCAAGCTCTCCCAAAGCACTGTTTTGCCCATATTTTGGCAAATTAAAAAAATTAAAAAAAATTAAAAAGGCAAATTAAAAAAAAAAAACAGTCAAAAAAGCCGTTTTTGGGAGCTTTTTGAAAAATTTTGACAAAAAAATCGCGTTTTTTTGGCGTGCGCTCCCCCTCAAAGTTAGTATATATTGGCGCCAAAGGCGCCTTTAGAAAAATTTTAGGGTCGGTCGTCCAAAAATGGATTTCTTAAAAAGTACCAAAGGGGGGACCCTTTGGGTCGGCAGGGTGTCGAATCCCTGAGGGGGGGGGGGGGGGGGGGTCGTCCGCCCCCCCCCTAAATCCGCCCCTGTAACTATTATACAAAATTTAAATATTTTCGGCTGGTTGATACTTCGGCTTGTTTATATACCACCGTTATTTTTTGCCAAAAAAAAAATCAAACAAATTTCTTAATGGCAATTCTTTTTCGCGAGGATTTGATACCATTAAACGCCTAATAGTCATGAAAATTGCTTTCAGAAAGCAAACTTTCCTTTATCGAGCAATTGTTTTTGAATTTTGTGGTTGAATTTCAGCAACTTTTGAAAACTTAGCAAGTTAATTATATTTTACAAAACTTGCTTTAATAAACTATTTGAATGTTTGATGGGCGTAAACTCATATTCAACAAACAAACAATGGCGATAACAATGTCTGGGTACCATACAGCTCTCTTCTTTTGTCTGCTCCTGTGACGAGAAAGGAAGAGTTTTCAGATTTAGGTTCAAAACAAACTTCCACTGGGAGTACCTCCTGATCCCCCTTCGCTCTTCATTCTGTTCACATAGGTACTGGCCACTATTTTGTACGCATCCAAGTACCTGTAAAATGGTTTTTTTTTATTCTGACCGTTCAGGGCCAATTTTTCTATACCAGAGGATCAATTATGGTGCTATCTTAAAGCCTTGTAGTCGTTATTGGTGACTGGGGTTCAAATAATGTATATATTCAGACTTTCTCACAAGGCCGAGAAAACTGGTATAAGATTATTGATTCATGGGTCTTTAGAGAGCAACTATATGAAATTTTTAAGCTTACACAAAAACATTCATGTTGGCATATTACTAAAATTTCGATCTTTTCTCAATTTTAAAATTCTTTTTGGATCGATTCTTTTTAAAATTGGTTATTTAGGCTTATAAAATAACGTACTGCCAGGGGCGGATCTAAGATTTTCTCGAGGGGAGGGGGACGAATTTTCAACGAAATTCTAAAAAAAAATCGACCAAATTGTTTTTCCGAGCTCTCCCAAATCACTACAAAGACCGTAATTTGACCAAATTTTCTGCGCCCAGGCAAATTTTTGAAAAAGCCAAAAAGGCCTTTTGAGGCACTTTTTGTAAAAAAAAAAAAATACGGCCCGCGCTCTCCCCTTAAAATAAGTATATATTGGCCCCAATGCGCCTTTAGAACAATTTTAGGGTCCGTCACCAAAAATGGATATCTCAAAATAGTACTTCGGGTCGGCAGGGGGTTATCGAATCCCTGAGGGGGAGGGAGACGTCCGCCCCCCCCCCCTGAATCCGCCCCTGCGTAGTGCTATACAACACTTGCGATACAACACAAACATAGCAAGGCACGCAAACTGACCGACAACCGACAAAAAAGAGACGAGACGAAATCCGCAAAAATAACTTCAAAAACTTTTTTGGAAAATTGTCGACCCCCCCCCCCCCCCCGGCCTCACATAAGCATCGATTTCATAGTGTAACGAGTGGTTTTACGAGATTGAGAAGACCAAAAATGTTTGTCATGGCCTACTTATTCCGTATACTACATTTTATAATAATCCGACAATGTGAACAGAACAATTACTCTAAACAAATTGCAGGTGGGGGAAAAGGAAAGAGAGCCGCCGAACATAGCTGAGCAGACACTAGCTAGAAAAACTGTTTTCATAAAAATTTTATAGTTTTATAGTTCCCCCCTCAAAACGTTTAGATTAAAAACTCTTTTCGCTAATTAAATGCCTAAAAATGAGGTCACTGAACGAATATAATAGAAGCTGAAACCTTTTAAGCCGAATATGGAGAACAAAAAAAATACTGGTAACAAAGGAAATGAACCGAACTTAAAAAGAAATCATAAGTCAAACCCCGAAAAAGTACATTTGGGCCTGAACAAATTTTGAAAGCTTTTGCTGAAAAAGGAGCGAAAAAAAATCACGACCTATATCATTCATCGACTCTTAAATATCATATTTTGAATAGAACGGGTATTTAAAATGCAGACTTGCTTTGAATTTGTCTGTTAGTTGACGAAAGTACAGATTTGGAGATTACCATCAATTTCAGTCATCCTGTTAACAAAGTTTTTCCGAAAAAAGTCTAGTACCCGTTTGCAAGACCCTTGTTTTATTGCAAGGGTAATAAACACTCAATAGCGGTTACTAACCGGTCGATACAATTCCTCAGACACGTCTCCTCTCCCCCTCCCAGGTACTTTCCAGGTCTACTCACGCACTTCGGGTAGATACACTTCTCCCCCGCCGCCTGCAGAAGACTCTGTACCTGCAAACATACAACAAAACTCATTTAGTACAGAAGACAAGGGTACGCATTAATTCAGACAGCAAAAAAAAACGGAGGCCTTTTTTTATAAGCCCCGGCCCAGCATCCACCATTCAACCTAGGGCCTTTTTTCTGTGGGGGAGATAGCTGTCATCCATTTTGCGGCAGCCGGTCCCACCTTGAGGAGTCCGATGACACTGGGACCCCTCCAACTGTCACCAAACTGAGGCCTTGCTTAACTGTTATTGAAATTTTGCACCACGAAAAAGCACAAAATTGAAATAAGGCAATGGGATGAAAAAGAAAATACTGTTCAATAAATTGGAACCACCTTCAGTTTTTACAAAAAAAAGTTGAACAACACCAAGCTTATACACAAGGGTAAAGCTGCGCTTCTCAAATACTAGCAAGAACACGGCTAAAAAGCAGCTCTATTAAATGAAATAATACGAAGAATTACGCTTCGAATTAGTAAAAATTCGACTACGTTTCGGATTCGATCCTGCGACCTAGGAAATCGAATCTCACGCACTAACAACAAAGCAACGGAAGCCTAACAATTCAAAAACACTAGCCACAGGTAAAGCGGAGAACATGCTATAAAATTCCAATGCTACAGATCGTGATTATAGCCAAAGTGCCGCCAAATGAGCATTTATATTTGCGAGCTAGATTACAAAAAAGGTTCATACTAATACACCACGCTCGGAAGCTCGCTAGCATAGATAAATAAAACTAGCGTGTACCTCCAGCGCTTCAAACAGATACGTGAGCTTGACAATGGCCTATATATGAAATAAATGCAAAAAAAAACAATGAAATTAATGCAACAGTAACAAAAGAAGGGAAATCCAACGACGCTTTTGATTTCAAAAAAAGAGCCATAAAAGATTTCAACTAAAATGGCCAAACCTCCGAAACGATTGGGTTTCATATCTTCGTATTTTTATCTCATAAAGGAAACCTTAAAATGGCCGACAGCGTACATCTGCATTTTTCGTATTTAAAAAAACTTTTGAAACAATTTCAACAAAATCATCAAATTCGTAAATGGGATTCATAATCCAGCGTAATTTATTTTAAATAATCAGACTTTTTTGTTTTAAAAATTTTGAAAAATTAATTTTAAAAAATAGAATTTGAAAACTTTAAAATTTTAACACAAATATTATGATGGGAGGCCACATCTGCATTCGCTGGTGGTAAACTGACATCATCCAATCAAATGGTCGACCAATTCAAATTTTTTTTTTTGAAAACCTTTGAAAAAAAATAAATACGTCATTTCTACGAAAATAAAATTCGTTGAGCAGTCATTTTGGAGTCCAAATTAACATTCTGAGAGCACCTTGGGAGTCCACATAAAGCTGAGTATTTCAAACTTGGTGCAGTTTTTTAACCATTTTTTTGTAGCTCTATTTTTTTTGAAAAAAGTTGAAACACAAAAAACGGCAATATCAGACTAAACTGATTAGAGATATCAAACTTGGAGGCAAGAGCTGCAGCCTCTGAGAGTATTCTGAGACCACCCCACTATAGGAATGGAAACTTCAAACTTAGAAGGTTTTTTTTTTGAAAAATTATGAAAAATATGAAAAGAACATATCTCGGAAACCAAAACCAAATGAGCAGTCACCTTTCAAGGCAAGATTTGCAAACTCTGAGAGTATCTCGACAGCGCCTGAGTACAGGTTTAGGAATTTCAATTTTTGAAATTTAGTAAATCTAGGTTTTCTGAATATTTTTTGAAAAAATCAAAAAAAACGTCATATCTAGGAATCTTAAGATTTCAGCAGCCCTAATTTGAGGCAAGACCTGCAAATCCTGATAGTACTACGACAGCGCCCAACTACAAGCTTGAGAACTTGAACGTTTGTTAAAGTTTCATATCTAAATTCTTTGAAATTTTTTCAAAACATCATAAAAAACGTTCATATCTCGGACACTTAAAGGATTTGAGCAGTCATACATGGAGGTAAGCTTTGCAACCCCTGAGAGTACCCTGACAGTGCCCAACTACACGGTTGGCAATTTCAAATTTATGAATTAACGTTTTCTGAAAATTTTTAAAAAAAAAAATCAAGAAAAAAAAGGTCGTATCTCGTAAACTAAAAGGATTTGGGCGTTCAAAATTGGAGGCCAAATTTGAAACCCCTGGTCAAAACCTGACATATCCCACAATTGGGTTGCTTATTTCAAATTTGGTGAAATAATCAATGAAATCAAACGGAAAAAAAATAGAAAAAACTGGAAAATAGAAAAAAAACTCTTAACCATTGCAATATAACATTTATCATAAACGTGCAAAAATTATTTCGTTAAACATGCCAAAATAATACGTCGAAAAAGCTTCAGCATGGGAAGAAAGTAAAGCCTTGAAAACTATAGATAGATGCATAGATAATAGATAACAATAATTTATGATATATATAGTCTTTTCAATAAGCATATGACAATATTGGTGTTTGATAAAATGAAAAGAAAAACATTTCATTGCCTTATTGTTCATGTTTTTTATATTAACTAGTAATAGTTTTATTCACTTTTTCTTGCATCGCAACGAGCAAGTCGGCCTATTATAAGCTTGGACAGAACCTGTTGCATCTGTAGAGCCATCTGCGTTTGCTGGATAATGCTCTCCGCGTTCTGAGGTGAGGAGCCGGAGCCACTGCTAGCTGAACCACCGAAGTTCATGATTCAGTCAAACAAATCTAAAAATGCATTCTCTCGATGTACCGAAATTCATTCGTCCAAAAAATAAGCTCAGCCCCTTGTCATTCAAAAATGACAAACTACTTAAAACATAGACAAATTACTGATAGTTCAGCACACAGAAGCTGAGTATCGCTTCACCTGCGAACAATAAAACAACACAAATACACTCGAAACAAAGCCTTGAATATGACATGGTGAATATCAGTCAGAAATCTTACCTTCTTTACATATTAATTGAATGACATGTTTTCCGCATAAGGCCTGAATTTTAGGGGCTATAGAGTGCAACGTTTTAAAAAGCTTAGAGCAGAACTTCTAAGAGTCATTCAGTCTAGAACATTCTAGAAATAATTTTGAAAAGTCCGAAACTATTTAAATAAGATGACCTCGATTCAACTTCAAGACTAGACGGTACCTGTCCTTTTTTGTCAAAAAATTGCGTTCACTGATTCACGAATCAACTAGAAACAGTTACCTCCATGCTTAGTAAGACTAACTAGTAGCAAACCGATTCGCGGTATGAAACATCTTAAAATATTTCAAATTTTCATAACTTGAGACGCGTGCATAGAAACACTTTTTCCCCATCCGATTTCCTTGATGAAACAACTCTTATTTCAAATTTTCAAAGCTTGAGTAATTTTTCTTAGGAAACTTGAACTTTTTCGCAAAACGATTCGGTCTATGAAAATATTGTAGCTGCAACAGTTTGCTTAGAAAAATTTAGCTTTATGCCAACCAATTCGGTCATGAAATAAATGGACACTTTCCAGATTTTTATAGCTGGATTAGTATGTATAGAAAAACATAAATTTTTCGCGAACCGATTGTCTTTGAAACAAATTGAACAATTCAAAATTTAGTCGCTTCAACAGCTTGCTTAGAAAACTTAATTTTTTACAAACTAATTTGGTCTGTGAAATAATTTGAAAGATTTCAATTTTCAATAGCTTTAATAGCTTGCCTAGAAAGACTTAAATTTTTCGCAAAATGATTCGCTCTATAAAATATCTTAAAATATTTTTCTTAACTTCAATAGCTTGCTTAAAGAAAATTTGACTTTTTGCCGACTAATTTGCTCGATGAAACAACTTGACTTATTTCAAAGTTTCAGTGTTGGACTAGCTTGATTAGAAAAACATAGCGGTATTTGATAACTAAAAGGGATCTCTTTAACTATTTCCCCCGTACTTGGTTGGCAAAACAATTCGGTCTATAAAATAACTTGAAATATTTCAAAAATTCTTTGATTGAATGCCGGCTTCAATAAAAAAACTTCGTTTTTTCGTCATCCGATTCGTCATGCGATAATAGATCGCTTAGCACGTTGCATAGAAAAATTTCAATTTACGGCAAAACGGTTCGGTTTGCGAAACAATTTAAAATATTTCAAAAGTTTCATTGCGTGAATGGCTTCATTAGAAAAACTAAAATTTTCGCCAGCCGATTCGATTACGAAATAACTTGAAATATTGATGTTTTCGCGAACCCGTTTCGATTTATGAAATAACTTGAAATATTTTCAAGTTTCATCGCTTGAACGTCTTTTAAAGAAAAACTTGATCTTTTTGCCATCCGATTGATTCGCTACATGAAATAATTTGTACCATTTCACAGTTTGAAAGCGTGACTAGATTACTTAGAAGAACTTAACCTTTTTAGGAAACCGATGTGGTCTACGAAATTTTCCAAATCGGTTTACGGTATGGTTTAACCTGAAATTGTTCAGAGTTCAACCTGAAATTGTTCGTTTAGCTGAACTTGAATTTCTTGAATAGCTTGATCAGAACAACAAATATCTTTTTGCGATTCGATCGATTATTGGAGACGAGCTTGCTAGTCAGTCTACAAAGCAAAATTATTCAAATAATCTTTTAAAGACACCGAGTAAAATTATAAATATATTTAAAAATCGAAATTACAACAAAATGCTTTCGTATGATACCTTACGAGAGTTCTCTAAAAATCCCTTAAAAACTTGGACACAAAAATCTGAACAAAGCGCACACGAGGTGAAGTTACACTCCATACACTTAATGATACACAAAAGAAATAACTGTTCAGTCCTTGAAGCAAGCAAAATAAAAATAGATTGCTTGCTTCTATCAAGGCGCATTGGTTTTTTCTTCAGAAAAATTCGATTCTCAAAATAACAGTTTTCTAATTTTTTAATCTTTTAGCAATGTATCAATATCCTGAATTCAAAACAAAAACACCAAGGTACCAGCAGGAGTCTAGATGAGTCCTGTGAACAAAAATATTTACGGGACAGAAAGTCTAGCACCCGATTGTAAAACCCTTGCTTATCGCAAGGGTGATAATTAATACATTCTGTACAACATACTTTATGCGCAGCAGCTGTTTTATCCGTCCGAAACCTCACTATGAATTGAAATGAATGCAACTAATTGGCTCCAATCTAGCGTTACTAGACGGGACATGAATCAGTTTATAAGTGACACTGTCATAAGGGTGATGATTCTCAAAAATCCATAAATTTTTCAGAAATTTCGGCAAAATTGTTTTCCAAAAAACATATTCAGACACTTCAGGACACAGGCAAAAGATTCAACGGTTCCCCCTGGTACACTTTTTCAATTGTTATAAATCTTCATTGGAAGTCCATAGTCCATGAAAAAATCTGATTAGAATCTCGTTTTCAATTTTAATTGACATCACTTATTTTCGCATCACTTTTATCACAGTCAAAAAATACTGGCTAGGTAACAAAAAAAAAACTACTATTAAAAAACAATAAGAGACTAGCATCAAGACTCAACACGAATATATTCTTAAATACCTACCATTCATAAAAGCTTATTTCATATTTGCAATCCTGGTGAAGAAACTATTTGTGAGAAAAAGACCTCCATGCAACACTATCGGAACTCGAACCCCAGACATTAGGGTACAAAAGCATCCGCGTTACCTCTAGGCCGAATAGGAAAATGTCACTAAGCTATGGTCCCAAAGTACAGAAAGGTAAGAAAAGTTGTTTATGGGATAAAAAGTTTAGTTCCATTAGAAGAAACTTGCTTTCACATGTGTACTTACTAGAGTCAAAGGTAAGAGGTTGACACAATTAATCAAATAACAAACAATCTTTGACGATAGCTTCGACCAAAAAGTCAGATATTCAATTATCTGCACCATTACACCATTAGCAGTATGTAAACATGAGCTATCAGCCAGATGAGTAAAATTTGAAAATCTGGTAAAAGAGTAATATTGCAAAACGTTTGTCAAAAGTTCTTTTCCTATACCATATCAAGGAATAAACGATATTTTTAACAACTAATGCGTTATTTGCACCAATTAGCTTGCCAATTTTGCTTGTTTAAACTTTTCAATTTTAGTTTCCGAAATAGTTTAATTGTTTGCACCATTACACCATTAGCAGTATGTAAACATAAGCTGATAGTTTGAGTAAAATTAGAAAAACTGGTAGAAGAGTAATAATGCAAAAGTTTGTAAAATCTTCCCTCCCTTTACCATATCAAGTAAAAAAGATATTTTTCGACAACTAACGCGTTATTTGGACCAATTAGCTTGCCAATTTTGCTTCTGTTTGAACTTTTCAATTTTAGTTTCCGAGATATGACAAATTTAATTATTGCTTTTCTCAAATTTCCAGTAAACCAATGAACTTTCAACATAAAAAATTTGTTTCAGGTTACAAAGAAGAATGCGGTAGTATGCTGTCGACCTTTTCAGGGTTGTCAAAAATTCACATATCTGAGGTAACTCTGAGTTTTAGAGATATGAGCAGTTTGGTGAAGAATTACCTACAAGTTGACTTTAGAAATCGTTAAATAATTGATAAAGAAAAGCCTGATGAATGGGCTCAGTTTAATTTAATGGTTGCATTGAAAAACGTTGTTTTTGTATATTTTTTAGGAAGCGCTTTTCACGTTCAACAATCTAATTAAAGAACCGAACGTGCGAGTCATCAGCTAGTTCGATTCAATTAAGTTGCATGTTTATGACGCTTACCTTGCGCGTTAAAAAAAACTGGTTAAGGCGCGCATTTATTCATGAAAATTCTTTTGACCTACTCAAACCAAGGGAAAAGTCATTTGTGAAGTAGGCAGATTTTTCATCTCGTAGTACTGGCGGATCTACAATGTTTTTAGAACTAAATGAATCAAAATTATTCAAAACTATAGATAATTGAAACTTCAAAGAAAAAGAGCTAATTATTGACTTAATTCCAAAAACTTAATAATAAAATTCAAATAGCAAAAAATGGCAAATTTTCTTGGAACTCAATTAGTTGCACAAAACAGGAATACATTGAATTTTTTTTTGAATTGAGCAGAAATATCTAAATCTTAGGCAAAATTGGTGCTGGGCAACTAAGCCGACAAAAAAATCTATACTCCGATTTGAAAACGCTCGCTAATCGCAAGCACAAACGCTGTTAAAACTAAGATCTTTAAATGAAAAACTAATTTGCAAGCTGCTGTTAAGTTTCTCCATTTCGAAAAAATTCGCCATTTCTACAAATTAATTTGCAGATTTTGCGAAAAATTTTGCCAAATTTCCAAATTCAATCAAATATTTTTGAGCAAAATCTATATCATAAAAGATTTGAGTTAAAATGAAAGAAATTGCAAACATAAAAAAATTACCAACTTTAAATAAAAACGATACCCGACAAAAAACTCAAGCACCCAAAGAAAACTTCCAATTAAATAAAACCAAAACAAAAAAATCATTAAAGAACTAATGATTTGGTAAAAACATGCTCTTTTTTGTCACTACTTAATGTGCCGCTGAATTTCGCATTTCCACATACAACAGTGCAGATCTCAAAGACTATCGCAAAAGCGTGACTTTTTGTTGCGCAGATTTTTGCCATGTCTGATACCAAGTTTAGTTTATGTCCCACACGCACGAAACAAATTTGACACAAAAATTTCCCAAAAAAAGGTCCTTGCACAGAAACCACCAAATCTTGATATAAATTTAGCCGGTTTTTAAAGAACCATATGATTTCTCCAGATGATTTCTGAATGT